TATATAAAATAAAGGACCTTAGAAAGAAAGTAGTATCTAGGTATTTATATTATATATAATAGACCTAACTAGAAGATATTTTCTACTATAACTAATATATCTATAATATAGTAGTAAAGTTTAAATATATAGATAGGATTTCTCCTATAATACTACTACTAATAATAGACTTTCTCTAAAACAAGGGATAATAACACTAGTAAAGTAAAGCTCTTTTAAGAGATAGTTAGATTAATCCTATATACTACTATAATAATCTAGCTAAATATAGTATTTACCTACTTACTCTTCTCTAGGTACCTAATAAACTTAAGTATATACTATATTTAAGTAGTAAAGTAGTATATTTAATACCTCTTTTATACCTTATATCTATTAATATACTTTAGTATCTTAGGGGTATATAACTTCTCTACGTAAGTAATACTTCTTTTACTAATAATATAATTACTTATTAGTTATCCTAAGGGTATATTATATATCTCTTTAGTAGCCTAATCTATTAGAAAGCAACTTACTAAGCAATAGTTATAATATTAATAACTAAAGCTAAGCTTTTACTTTTAACTATATAACTAAAGAGCTTATTACCCTAAAACGCCTCTTTTATAATATCTACCTTAAATTAAAAGATAATATATAAGTAGTATAATATAATAACTAGTAATAATTTACTTAGTTATAAGGAAAAAAGAAGATTATAATATAACTTTACTATATTAATATCTAGAATATATAGCTATAAGAGGTCTATATAGAAGGTAAAGTTAATATTATATATCTACTAATAAACAAGATACTAGTAAATAAACTTACTAAGAATCTCTTATAAGCTAAATTTAAGCACTTTAGAGTACTCCTTAACTTATAAGATATATAGTATACAGTAGGATAAAAAGAAACAAGGACCTAATTAATAAACAACAAGAAAGGTAAAAGCAAAAACTCCTCTAAAATTAAATAATAGCCTAGGGCTAAGGGGCCTAAGCTAAAGCAAAAATTAAAAAACAGCCTATAGGCTAAGAGCCTAACGTTCTAAAAAGGTAAAAATAGCCTAAGGGCTAAGGAGCCTATTATTAACAAAGGAGGGCATCTATATAATTATCTAAGAAATAATAAAACATAGAGTAAGTCCTCTATATAAGAGAGAGCTTACTAATAAAGCTATTAAGGTTAGCCTACGCGTAAGTAGTACTAATAGAGACACTATAATATATATAAGGACTAATAGGAAAGCTAAAGGAACACTTAAGGGTAATAGCCTCTATAAAGGATCCTTAAGGCTACTTACTCTATTGTATACCTCCTCCTTCTCCTTCTCCTTCTTATTTTTCTCCTTTTTGTCCTTATTAAAAAGATAGTTATAGGTAAAGTAGCCTTCTTCTTTTTAGGGTTTAAGGTAAGACTACTTATATATATAACTATATAGCTATAATTACCTAAAATAAAGATATATAAGTAAAAGTAACTATTATATAAATAAGAAGTAACTTACCTTATATAGGGCCCTTTTACTACTTAAAGTACACAAGAGGGTATTAGCTAGGCTAATAACCTTAGGGGTAAGTAGTATATATATACACTAATATATAATATATTAGTAATATTTAAGGCTAAGACCTAAGAGATACTTACTATTAAATTAACCTATAAGTATACTCCTTAAGTAACACTTATAAAGGCTAATAATAGTAGGTCTCCTTACTATACCCTCTTAGTACTCTAGTACTTCTATAAAGGCATTATTATTACTGCCTAAATCCTTCTTAACCTTAGGAGACAGTAGTAAGCTTTCTTTATTATTAATATAAAAGTAAAAAGGTAACTACTTTACTACTACTTTATTATCTATAAAATAAGTTAGTAATTAAGAAATAACTAAGTAATAATAAGTAGTAATATACTAGTTAAAGGTAAATCTAGGCCTAAGTTATATAGCTTCTCTTAACTAAAGTTAGAAGGGCTAGTCTCTAGAGAAACTACTTATTATTACTTTTAAGAAGCTACACTTATTCTTTAGTACTAAAATTAATTAACTAGTAATAAAATAATACTTATAAGACCTATCTATAGGGGGTTTTTACTCCCCTGTAGACCTACTAAAGGTCTTTTTCTCTTCCTTAAGAGAAGACAAGGTACACTTATAGTAACTATAGTAGTTATATAGTAGTAAGACTACTATAGCCTTAGGGCCTATAGTAGCTACAAGGGTGTATATATAAGCCTTACTAAAGGTAATAGTTTTATAAAATATCTAAAAAAAAAAGAAGTATTAGTAATTAAGTAAAGTAGTATAGTAATATAAAAGATAATAAGTTAGTAATTAATTATAATAAAAATAATAATATAACTTATAATTATTATTATAGTTATTAAAGAAAAAGAAAAAAAAGTAACTATAAATTTAGCCTTAAGGTAAATATTTACTAGCGTGTAGGCTAGCCCTATAGTAAGTAGCCCTACTAATAAGAACACCTAATACTAATAGCCTATAATTATATAATAACTAGCCCTTTTACGCTAAAAGAACTATTTTTCCTTTATATCTAGGCGTACAGCAACCTACGCTAACGCCTAAGGGGGTATATTATATAGGATATTACTAACTAACACTGCCTTCTAGAATAACGTTGCTTATTAATCTAACCCTTGCTCCTAAATATAGATACTTGCAGTAGAATCTACTAAGCAAGGCAATATTTAAGGAACATAGATTATAGCACTATAGATAGAAGAAATAAGCCACTTTTAACTACATAAATTACCCCCTAAACGTACTACTTAATAATATACTTTCTATTATAGTACCTTAATAGTAAATTTCTAGCTATATAGCGTATTTACCTAAGTAAAAACAGATAGACTATAAATAAGATTAGCCTAGATTAGCTAAAGTACTTTAATTAGTGTATAAAGTCTTATATAAAAGGTACTTATTACCTTTTAATCCTAGATAGCTATAATAGCTATAAATTAACTAAATTTAATAACTACTATAAAGAAGAAAGTATTATTACTTTATATATACCTCCTTATTTATTATATAAGCTTTAGCCTCTTAATATTAGCTATTTTAGCCCTTTAAAGCACTTATATAGTAAAGAAATTAAGAAAGTAATATAGATATAAATTATATATATTACTAAGGATAACTTTTTTTCTACCTTTAAAGTAGTATTCTTTACTTTAATAAGAGAAATAAATATATAAGTAGGTTTTTAATAGGCTAGTCTTATACCTTTTAATCCTAAAGTTATTATTTTTTGCCTAGATTTTAAGCTAAAGATACTAACACTAGTTAACTTATATCTAACTAGCTTAGGCTTATAGGACCTAAAGACACTAATAATAGTAATTAAAGGTATATAAAGCTCTACCTTATTAAAAAAAAGGATTAGGGACTATTAAGGAAGTTTACTAACACTAATATATAAGATAATTAACTTATAGTTAAAAGGTATTAGTAAGTTAGTATATTAACTTACTATTATTAAGGTAAAGAACTATTAACTTTATATAAGGATAAAGGTACTTAGTAAGCGCTAGAGGGCTAAAAAGACCTAACTACGTCTTAAAGGATTACTTAATATAGCTAAAGTAGAGGCACTATAAAGAGAAAAGGACATTATTAAAGCTAAAGGTAAGGAAATATCCTAAAAGGGGGGTTATATAGAGAGTAGTAAACCACTTGTACAATAATATAGTAATTACAGGAAGACTAGATATAATATATAAACCTATAAGGTAGTTTAGGATACTAATAAAGAATAAAGTAATATATATTTTTAATTAATTTTGTATAATCTAGTTAAATTAAGTTATTAAAAAGATAGAAAGGTAGGTAGATATATACTACTTACTATAATATACTACTTACTATATATATACGTTATAATATAAGTATAAGTTAACTTATAGACTAGTGTAATAAGGGTACACTTAGGGTTAATAGTAGTAATAAGGTCTTAGGTATAAGCTACTTTTTACCTTTAGGTAAAAGGCTTTAGCTAAGAGTAAAAGGCTATAATATAATAAGTTAGTAATAAATTAATAGTAGGTCTATATATATATATATATATACTTATAAAAATAACTTACTAGTATTTTTTAATTTTAATTATCTTTAATTAATAAAGACTATATTAGTAAAATAATTACTTTATAATAATAATATATAATAGTAAAAAAGGATACTTATAATACTAAAGAAGAGGCCTAAAGAAAAGAGGAAAAAAAAAAGAAAAAACGTTAAGTAGTCTACGCTAGGTAATAACTATAGGCTAAGTTTCTATAGTTATATATAATAGAGGGCTAGTAGGGCCTAGGAACCTTGTTTTTCTAACTACTAGTAAAGAGGGGGTATATATTATAGGCTAAAGCTATAGTAAGTGTAGTAAGGCTTTACCTACTATAATATATAAGCTAGTAAGGCAGGTGTACTTAGTTAGCGCTTAGTTAGTACCCCTATTTAACTTTATATATATAATATATATACTACTATAAATAGCCTTTTCTCCTTAGTCTAGATTAATTATATTAAGTTGCTATACACCTGTTAAAAGGTAGTACTAACCCTTTACACTAAGTAGTAATTAATATAAATAAAGTGTATATAAAATAGTAAATTTTAGCTATATAGAAGGCAGTAGAAAATATAATAGTTTTTATAAATTATAGTGTATATAGCGCTGTAACATTATAGGGGTCTTTAACTTACCTCTGCTACCCTATAGAACTAAATAAGTAAACTACTTAGTATCTTAATCTGTTTAGGTTATTACTAGCCTAATTACCTAAACTATAATAGTAAATGTTCCTAATGTTATAGCCTGTCGGGGACATATCTCATCCTTATTAATGAAAATTATATAAAATACCCTTCTAGACACTGCACAAGGTAAGTAAAGAAGATTATTCTTATCCCTCTAACCTCTCCCATTAAAACCAGCATTATAGCGTTAGTCCTTATCCTTTTATTAGCTATTAGCTTTAGGTATACTATGCCACACTATAAGTTTATTAATTTATCAAACTAACAGGGCGAGAATAGTTGCACTAGTGGCCAGACTCTTCCTGGTGGGATAGAGCCTAAGTCTCACTTCTGGAGCTGGAATAGCCCCTTCTACCCGGTACCATCAGAAATCGACCCTTCTATACCTGCAGGTTGCGAGGCTACCTTCGTACAAGTCCTCAGCAGGCATGGTTCCAAATATCCCAAGACACAAGAGATGCAAGAAGCCAAGGCGATAATTAAGCACATTCGGACTACCGTAACTCATGGCGAGGGCTTGGAGATCCTAAAGTCTAACGATCTAATACCCCGCTATGTGGAACAGCTTTCACCGTTTGGCAAGAAAGAAGCTTTGGACTCTGGCATATCGTTTTATAAACGGTACCGGCATCTCGCTACTAATCACGACCCTTTTATAAGAAGCGTTAGCGAGGAACGTGTGGTTGACACAGCCTTGCTTTGGAAGAAAGGCTTCTATTAATCGAGAAGAGGCGGCGACCCAGATACTACCAGACGTATTCAAATTATACCTATGACAAAGGGCTTTAATAACTCACTACATCACGGCGGTTGTCCAGCCTTTGAGAAGACTGTTAATGCTCGTACCTCAGAAGCGCCAGTTCAGTGGATTCAAGAGTATTCTAGGCCAATTACTGAACAGGCAAATAAGGCACTACTACCTAGGGCAAACCTTATACCTTCCCAGATAAAGCGATTAATGAGTCTATGTCCAATCAACACAGTAATCAATGGCATAGAGTCGAAAGTCTGTAACCTCTTTACAACAGAGGAGTTCAAAAACGATGAATACGGCGATACACTCAGCAAATACTATTCTTGGGGACCAGGCAACCCGCTAGGCCCAACACAAGGAGTAGGCTTTACTAATGAGCTTATTGCACAGTTAACACAGCAGCTAGTTGTTAACCATACATCAACTAACACAACGCTTACTGGAGATCCAAAAACATTCCTACTTAATAAGAAGATATATGCTAACTTTACCTGTGGTAATATTATAATATCTATATATAGTGCTTTAGGGCTATTTAATGGGGCAGAGCCTCTTAGTCAGACACATATGACACCGTTAGCAAGGGCTAAGGGTTTCTCAATGAGTCGGTTAATTCCGTTTGCTTCCCGCATGTATGTAGAGAAGCTTCAGTGTAGCGGCGAAGCGAACGAGGAGTTTGTCCGGGTGCTGGTTAACGACCGGGTGATGCTGCCATCTGGTTGCAAAGTTGATCGGCACGGCCGGTGCAAGCTGAGTGAGTTTGTGGAAGGCTTGAAATTTGCGAGGGCTGGGGGGCACTGGAATAAATGCTTCCATTAATAGGGATAATTACTCCTCATCATGGGAGTTAAATAGCAATACTATCTTAGCCTCTATAGTGTAGCAATATTGTTTGTCTTGGTTCAGCGCTTGTACTTAATAAGTAACGTCGGATTCCCGTGGTTTAGATCACGGTGGTGTGTGCCCTAGCTGTGACATTGTTACAGTCAGATATCCAACAGTAGAGTTTCCGCTAAGAGTAAAACAAAGATCGATACTCGATAACCGTAACATCAGCGTATCAGTTTGCTCAACACTGCGGTGATGAGTTTTATGGTCAAAAGGTCGTAAGGATAGTTTGTAAAGCTTCTTGTCAGTTAAATCTTCAAGGTTAGATACTATATAAAGTCACTCAGAGAACGCATTACAAGTTTATTGCTAGATAGCTATACAAGGATATGTATATAATGGAATGAGTGCCCTAACATGTTGCTTGCTTCCCCGTTGGGAACGATTTCGAGATGTTAGTGCTTGATGTTAGACCGCCCCTAGCGTATCTTCTAGAACTGCAGTTCAGGTTTTGGGTTCATCATAGTGACTCTACATTATGCAAGGCTTAGCAGGTCGAAAAGGCCGCGCCGACCGTCGGAAAACCTAGTGAGGAGGTAGTTACTTTACTTACATCATCACTAGTATAGTAATGTGGGCTTTTTGCTAGAAATCGTTTTAAGCCACCAAAAATCCAGGAACAGTTTTGTCTTTGGACAGGGTGGTGATAAATAACCAACAAACCAATAAGAAGATAGTCTCAGTAGAGGAGTGAGGCGGCAGAAGTAACGGATAGATGTTATGCTGCCAGCATTTCCACATAAATTCAACAGATATAAAGATCTAATGGGCATCCAGAACTAGCAGTCTAGCAGCAGACACACACTTGATGATTGATACCTATCGCCGGGCATCTATTGCTTTGGATCGATTGGTTCTAATAGATGGGTTTCGCTGCTTGGTTGGGCGCATCTAATTCTTCCCCAGAGGTCGCTGCCTATCGCCCAGCATGCGCTCTGCCAGACCCCTCACTTGCGGATGGGTAAAGAATCTGCCAAGGGATTCTTAACGGCAAATATAGGCAGCGAGATTATCCTCCTGGGTCTAGCATAGTCGCTGGTAGTCAGCCCAGGCAGTAAGTATCTGTCACGATATATAAGCTACTGTTAATGCTCACGTAACAACGGTATCGTTTTATTACGTGACAGTATCTCTCGACTGGGTGCCTTTGAGCCGATGATAGAGAGTGAGTGGCAGATGGGATGTCCCGGGTGCGAGCAGCGTGGCTAATTGATTGTCTAGCAGCAACATCCTGAATAGCTATTTGGAGCTGATACTTGGTGCATTGCTTCATGATGTAATTAATAAGGTATCCTGTGTAAATGGTGATGTTCGGCGATATATATGAATTGTTTGGCTGGGAGAAGGTGCTGGTGTTGATAATGGCGCGGTTATTTGCATGTTGATATGTGGGGCCTACTTATAAGTAGGGTAAGGGATAGTACCTTATAGCAAGAAAATGAACGGCTTTCTTAATTGATATTTGGCCGAATTTCCCCTTTCTCTCATGCAAACTCTTAACCTATCTCAATAGGTAGGTAGAGCTTTGTATAGTATTATGTAAGCTTGTCTATGGCTAGTAACAGTGGGCAATTGCTGTTAATGAGTTGCATGATACACACTATTATTGCTTATTAAAATCGATCTATCAATTAGACCTGTTGCCCTAGCTGTACGGCCTATTATCTAATAGTACTACTGGTATTGGCTTGCTGTAACCATGTGGTGCCTGCCCCCGTACCAACATGCCACCCCATCCCTCCACTGCCCAATGTAGGCAATAATGGGTAGGTTCTGCCAGCTGGGCGCTAACGCCTTAAGCGGGAGGGGTAACTTATATATCAAGTCATATAGTATTAATAGCAAATCCTATTTGGTCCCCAAGAAGAGGTCTAACAACTAACAGTAAATAGTCAACAGTTATCAGGTGCCTGGCGGAGGCCCTGGAGGGCCCCTATTAGTCAGCCCACGAGGAGTAAAAGCCTGCTCCCACCCACGATAGTTAGGAGGTTAAATTCGAATGTTGTCAAACACCATACCTACGAGTCCAGCTGACTCTGACAACACAACAGTTAACTCAACGACCCCACATCCGAACCACCCCCACATCCAAACCATCATCATCACCACGATCGCCACTTCTATCACCACTTATTCCTCGGACTTGCCACCCACCCATATGCAACTTTCGGCCTAGCTAGATAATTTAGATACCCTGGACTCATCCGGACTATCTATATCGCCGGCTTCTGTATTTCTGGCCCACTGAATATGCTCTATGGTGGCGAAGTTACTGTTAGGCGATAGGGGGACCTTTTTCCTCTTGCGTGACCGTTGGTCTTCTAGTTAGGCCTGTAACACGTTAACCTGCCTTTCTAGAAGGGCTATTCTAGATACCTGCTTATTATACCCCTTTTGCACCTTTCTAGATAGTTGACAGATAGTGTAGGTATCTAGTCTATCTAGGCCTAACTAGTTTAACTAGTGTAGTTAATGCTGTACATTAGTAGACTAATAAGCGTTTAACTATAGGATAATAAATATAGCTTTATCCTACTGCTGGCTAGTAGTAGAGAGTTTAACAAAAATATAAAATATAACATAATATAAGAGTATAACATAAATATAATATATATACTTATATTATTTATATTGAGAAAAAATATATGTATTTATATTATATTTATAGTATAATATTAAGTGAAACATATTAATATATAATAAAGAGTAAGAATAGTTAAATCTATTATACTAACTATATATAATACTCTATATCTTTTTGTTTATAGTATAGTATTACTTATAGAGAGTTTAAAAAATATACAAAATATAATATAATATAAAGGCAATTGATTGGGATGCACCAGGAATTGATATGGGCGCACCAGTCTTACGGACGCTCCGCTATTTGCCCTTCTGATTGGTCCAAAAAAAACAGTACATCCCCACAAAGGCGGTGAGGGCAATTGCACTAACACCTCTACCTAGCTCTTCAAGGGGCACTGTTCACGGCCGCAAAAAGGACCCCCTTGGGCTGCCGCGATGGGCTGCGATAGGCTGCTGCGATGGGCTGCCTTAATGGGCTGCGATGGGCTGCCTTAATGGGCTGCCGCGATGGGCTACCTCCTGTGGGCCTGGCAGAATTTGGTTACACTAATAAGAATTTTTTGAACCAATCAGAAAAGCGAATGGCGGTGCGTCCGTAAGACTGGTGCGCCCATATCAATTCCTGGTGCGTCCCAATCAATTGCCTTAATTAAATAAATTAATATAAACTTTTTTAAATCTTATAATAATTATAATTATTATTATTATTTATAAGTTAGGTTAAATTTAATAGTAAAGGTAGATTTAAGATTTAGGTGTATACTTTTATATAGTTAAGTGTATTATATAGCCTTACTTTAACGTATAGGTATTTTAAAGGCTGCAGGTTTAAATCTAGTTTAAATCTAGTTTTCTTAGATTTTTTAAGTTCTAAAATGGCTCTGCCAGGGAGGGTTTAAATAGTACTAACCTACCCTGCTTCTTACGCTGCGCTCTGGGTCGGGATGGGCCAAGACCATCCCTTTTGCCTCTATTTTTTTTATTAAGGTATTATGTTATCACTAAACCCACTGTCTGCTGAGCTTTATTATGCACGGTACTCTTGGGTTGACAGGGGTGGGACAATATCAGCTTGTCTGATCACTCCGTTTAAGATAAATACAAATTGAAGGCAAGTAGACGATAATCATAGAAAGGCTTTACTTTGACTCACAGCACGCCGGGTTTGTGGATAAGTGGCGATCGTATTCACCTCAAGACCGAGTCCGATCATTCCGATCGTGATCAGAATCCAAGGCCCCCATTGAATGTCATGGCGGGGTGAGGAGCACAGACGTTGCCTAGTTCGACGGCATCGTTCAGACGGCTTTGCAACGAAACCCTGCATGAGTTGCCGGACTCAGGTGTCTGATTGAATTATGATTCCTCACTCGGTACCATGGGAACCGGCCGTGTGTATCGACGATGTCGGTATAAAGGCCATGGTGCCGCTTATTGTCCGATTTTGGGCCTTGTGCCATTCCACCCGTGTGCCCCTTACTCGATTTACTATCTTTAAACCGCGAAACTTCCGTCGGATGTCAAGTGTGACACACAATGTCCGCTATCCAAGATGTCTTCGCGCCGGCGCCAGAGCCCAAAACCGAGCTCGGTCGGTATCGCATCCTTTCTACTACCGCCGGTGTCAGGGTATCCCCGCTCTGCCTGGGTGCCATGTCGATTGGCTCGGCCTGGTCGTCATTCCTGGGATCAATGGATAAAGACCAATCTTACAAGCTTCTCGACGCCTTCGTCGACGCTGGTGGCAACTTTATCGACACCGCCAACAACTACCAGAATGAAGAATCCGAGCAGATTCTAGGCGAATGGATGGCCGCCAGGAGAAACCGCGACATCATGTTTGTTGCGACCAAGTTCACCACACAGTACCGCAAGCATGAGCTCGGGCCCGGCAAATGCATCAACTACTCGGGCAATCACAAGAAGTCACTGCACCTCTCGGTCCGGGATTCTCTCAGGAAGCTGCAGACAGATTACATTGACCTGCTGTACGTGCACTGGTGGGACTGGACCACCTCCATCGAGGAGTTGATGGATTCTCTCCACATCCTTGTTGAGCAGGGTAAGGTCCTGTACCTCGGGGTTTCTGATACCCCCGCTTGGGTCGTGTCCGCTGCGAACACATATGCCAGGGCGCAGGGAAAGACCCCCTTCTCCGTCTACCAGGGTCGCTGGAACGTCTTGATCCGCGATGTCGAGCGGGACATCATTCCCATGGCCCGGCACTTCGGCATGGCCTTGTGTCCATGGGATGTCCTTGGAGGCGGCAAACTGCAGTCCAGGAAACAGCTCGAAGCCCGTCAAAAAGCTGGCGAAGGCTTGCGATGCACGTTTGGCCCGAACCAGTCGGACGAAGAGCGCAGGGCCAGCGAAGTTCTAGAGCAAATTGCTAAGGAACACGGGACCGAGAGTATTCAGCAGATTGCCCTGGCTTACGTGATGCAAAAGGCTCGCTACGTATTTCCCGTCGTCGGAGGCCGCAAGGTAGAACACTTGGAGGTCAACATCAGGGCGTTGAGCATATGTCTCACGGAGGATCAGATCCAAACGATCGAAAGCATCAAAAAGTTCCACATTGGTTTCCCGATGGACTTCATTCTAGATGACCCAAGGGAGGGTGGTCCAACGGCTCCTCTAGTGGCTGCTTCCGCCCCGATGGATTGGCAACTTCAAGGCAAGCCCATTGGTCAGGAGTAGAAGTTGGTGGTGTCGAAGGTATGCTCGAAAGCAAGCAAGGGGCAAATCATGATCGAACTTTCAATGCGATAGATCAGAACCAGATAGTTCATTCACATTACTATCCAGTTTCCGAACTCGTCAAAGTGATGTCATAAGTCATCGGCCCATCTACCTAGACACTAGCCAAAAATCTTATTTTATGGGTACAAATGTCTTCTGGACTGATGACCCTGATGAGCAGGAGGATGCCCCTTCTGTAGACATGGAAACTCCCGAAGAGACGATGGGCAATCTCTCTTCTGGATGAGGTTCGGTCTCACCCAAAACTCTTTCAGACCTCCTGACTGTACGATGGACTTTCATTTTGATAGATTGGGGAAGGTATCGCGTTTTGATAGCGGCATCACGTAGAAAGACTCTCAATACTGGGATTGATGCGGCCATGATGGTGATTGCTGTTTCGGCCCCAGCCCAAAGGGTCAGCTCCGCTCCGCCATCTGATTGTAGAGTTAGTATAGAACTTGCAAAGAGTTAATTTGGACATTAAATACGGGAAAAGTCGCCTGCTGTGTCATTAACCGACTGCATGTAGGACGCTTTGATGAAGGCTGCAATTCCGGCGCTATCTCTTGTTAGCTATTGCGGTGCACCCAATGCGTCGAACATCCGGAACTGACAGAACTCCCATACTCAGTGCCACTGAGACGCCAATCTTCTCCTTCTTGCTCAGTCTCAGACCTGACGATGCTTCGGTTGGCGTGGGCCGCACAAGAATCAACCAGGGAATGACGGCCAGAGCGATATCGAGCACACCAGAATATACTTGTAAACTCATCAGTACAAGCTTGCAAAATAATCATGAACCAAAACTTATTACCGCTAACGAAAATGCCGAATGACACCACCCATTTCAGGTCGTAACAAGTTCCATCACTGAATATATCCCATCTCTTCTTGAGAGGAACGCACCCGATCCAGAATGATGAGGCAGAGAAGGCGAATAGAATGTTCATGGAGATGATCGCGAACCAAACGAAGGATTTCTTCCAACCATCACACATACGTAAAAGCGATATGGCGAATGCTGTCTTGCTCCAAACTTGGCCGACGAACGAGCAGGTGATTGAAGCCAGGCCGACGATTGCAAGGACTGATATATTGTCAGCGTTGATGGGGAACCCAGGCCGGCCGAATCGAGATTTGATTATGAATTCGGTCAGAGCAGCATCTGCGACAAGAATCACCTAAAGACTCCGGGGTCAGCAACAACCTGATGACAAAACTTTGGCAAAGAGGCCCCTACCCAAGACGCAATGAGAAGTATATCCTCAAACCTGATCTTCGTATATGAATAGGTTAACTTGCAGTATATCCTTAACCCCAGAAACAATGCTGATAGAGAAACGAGAATCCACAGAACTGTTTGCATGACCTTGGCCTTCGCATCGTCGTCTGCACGTTCGTTGAGTGCTGGCACCGTAGTCTTCGGCTCAGATGTCATCGAATAGGTCTGGTTGGCTGCTCTTGAAAGGAAGTACATCGCTTTCATTTGACTTCTTAAACAATGTTCACATCCTGGTAGGGGCACCACAGCCATGTTCGGTTTCCGAATGGGATACCAGTTGATGAAGTGAGAGTAGCACCTTCATGGCAGAGACAATCAACACATGGTTGACAAGAGTCTGTAGCGGGGCTTTATATTATTGATGGAACTTGATAAGAAGGGCTCTGAAGAAGGAAGAGCTTTCGCAACATCCCTGGACAGAGTCGGGAAGGAGTACCTTGTCATTACGTGAACGGTACCACGCGGGGAGCTGTGAGCCCCATGCAACGCTAAGAAGAAGTAATGCGAAATCCATGGTTGTTGGATCCTTGATCCCTTTTTCTCGGCATTACAATAGGATACGGCAACGTCTGATAATGGTCCGGCATCTCAGAGACTTTCGCAAGTACAGGAGGATAATAGGGTGAAACTCTAGTTCTAACCTTTTGAAGTTCCGTGCACCAGCGATATTTGCCGGAAAGCACGACCACAAGCTTTGGGCTCATAGGACGGCATCTGCCTCGGCCTCCCGCACATGAAATTCTCACCTGCCAATGCGAAAAGAAAACTCTTTGACCTCCTTCGTCCAGTCTTGCTACTATCACAGCCACCGTGATGAGCAGGACAAGCACTTGTATCTCTGATCATGGCCCCTCTCGGGCCGTCTATGGGCCTAGCCTGCTAGGGGACGGACTATTTGAGTTATCACCACTGTCACAGCCGTGTCGCGGCTGAAGGGGATCCTCAACGTGCACGTCCTATGTAGCTGGCCTAGGGGAGAACTTGCTTCAATCGGCTTCACAGTGCATCTGTTTAAGGGAGTCCAACCTTTCTGCCCCTCCCCCCAGACATGGTAAGCTCGTTGAGGCGCGCTTTAACTCCCTCTAGCGCCTACTGACGGTTTCGTCCTTCACAACGTCCTTCCACTTCATTTGAGATGTTGAAGCTCCGCGGCACCACTCTTATATTTTGTTCTTTCTCGTTGATGCTGCGCGCTCTGAACTGACTTGAGCCATCTCGCCAGGTGCCTGGAGAAACAGGGTAGCTCTATTCGCAGATCTGCACGATTTGGGGGCAAGTTTATGGTATTTATGAGGCATTTTCTCACTTTCATGATTACGATAATCATATCATATAGTACCTTGCTTGCGACTACTTGGCATCCATGAAACAGCTGCCTGCAGAATATGATGCGTTCCCCTTCTAAGCACCGTTAGTGGTGCTTTCAGTTGTCAAAGGCTGCAGTTATCCAATGATTCTGCTTCGTTTCCATTTCTGGCCCGGAGACATTCATGCACGTCCATTGCTCCAAGTTATTCGCAGACCTTTTTTTAACAAAACGTCCCTATCAATGCATTACAGTTACTCATGGGATGACGTTAACACAAGAAAATTTTGATTTCTTATGCTATCCATAATTACTTGGCTGTGCTCATGTCCGTTCATCACGTCATTCCGCTGCCGTTTATCCGCGACGGATAGGGTGCTACTGCAAGCCAATCATGGGATCATCCAATCAGTCCAGCTCATAGAGGCGACCTGCTTTGCCAGCAATTTGACCTGAGGCCTGTCTCCCTATCCTGACTATTGCATGCAGGTAAGCTGCTGGATTAATAATGACGGCTGAACGTTCCAGGCTCCAAAAAGACTGTCTGCTACCCCGTGAGATAAAATATGTACCACTCTACCCTTTCTGAGAAGTATAATATATCCTCGAGGGAGCCATTCAGAATGTATAGTTGTCGGGTCGACTACTATTCTTCCTTTCTTTGGGCACATCGATGTGGTTTCAATTGAGCGAGATCTGCAACGTCAGCACATTTTCAACAGAATTTGCTAGGTGATTTTCTATTTTAGACATCGCTCTGGTTTAGCTGCCTGGTCATTGCAATACCGATCCGCACCATGACGTGCTATTGTGTGCAATGGTAAACCTTTGTCAAGGTGAAGCAAGCATGAACTTCATGTCAACTACTTTGAAGAACCTACATCATTGGATGCTCAAGATGCTGTGCTATGAACTCTGTCGGGATACGAATCAGGGATTTGAACTCAGAAAATAGTAAAATATACCACCGAGTCCTCCAAGTCACTGTGTTGATCTGACGCACGTGAATCTTGTCCATCCCATCGATTGCCACTACGTGGTTGAGGTGCGGTCGGATCATCAGCCACCCTAAGGTCGCGCAATCCTGGGGTGAGCAGGGTGAGTGGTAGTTGGCTCCATGGTTGCTCGCTTGCTCTGCTAACACGTTCGACAAGACCCGCAAAGCTTGTTAGTCCCGTAATCGTAAGATAAATCCCATCAGAGCCTCTGGAAGGCTCGTCCCGTAAAAGGCTATGTGGCATGGCTCTAGCACCAAAAAGGGAGGAGATACGGTAACGTGTACATAAGCTGGTATTTATACTAAGACTTAAAGATACAATGTCAAAGACACCGAGACACTTAAGCCACCCAAAAACAGTATGGTTCCTTAAATCCCGTCCAGACCAATTCCATCGCCGTCAATGACTATAAAAGTCTGCATTCCAGCATCCTTAGCCAGTACCAACATTACGGACCGAAGGTTGCGTAGTGCTACTCTTGAGTGGTCTCGCATGAGGTTGTCGCAGTAGCTTTGAAGTAATTCAATGCACTCTCGTAAGTGAGCTTTCATCGTCAGTTCGGATGCGAAGACGTATTTCTCGTGATCGTCGCGGACGCTATGTAATTAGTCTCTCCCTGATATAGGCTGGGAAATCGGTGCTCGCTCCGCTTAGTTGGTGGTCCTGGCCGGGGTACGATATCTGAATGACAGTCTCGTCGATCGGCGAGGCAGTTTTCACGACTTTTTGATCATCGCTTCAAGTCGGGCGATGGCAGAGACATAGTTCTCGTTGGAAATGTATTCCAAGACATCGGCCATTTGTCTTGAAAGGCCTACCACTGTGTCCTTCGTTAACCAAAGACAATGGCGTGGCTCAGTGAACACATCCATCCCGATTCCTTCTGCGATAACCTGAGAATGCTGTGAGTAGATACGTGGGGCGAATCGTGGGAGGCTAATATTGAGATATTCTGGGAGCTGGAACATGCTGCGGATGACTGGCACAGCTGTCCCAAATAATTCGCGTGTGGAGTCGGTAGCAATGAGCGAATATAAAATAGCATTGAGTCCACCGTCAAGGCCGCCCTTGATGTCGTAGTTCACAGAATCATCTATCATGTAGCTTTTCTGAGGCGACACCCCCAATACCTCAATTACCAGACGAAAGACTTTGGTATCGAGCTTGAAACAACCTGCTTCTTATGAGGCAACGATCTTGTCGACAAGGTGATGCACTCCGATGGCCTTCGCCTTCTCCAGCTGATCCTTGGGTTGACAATTGGTAACAATCGCAACTCGGAAGCCATTCCTGCTTAGGCGTATCGGCATCTCAACGCTATTCGGCGTCGCCCTTCGTTGATTCCGGTATGCTGATTTGTAGATGTTCCGGAACTCAACGATCTGCTTGTGATCTGGCTCTGGGAGCCCAATCTCACCGAAAAACTAGCGAACCTTCTTAAAGTCTGCCTCTTCATAAGTGATTTCGTGCTGGGGTTTTTCGTCGTAGGCCTTCTGAAGTGACTTGTTGTGCTTGGAAATAAGGTCTTGGCGATTATGGGCTTTGAGACTATCGTAGCTTGCCTGGATGGACGAGATAGCGGATCTCAGGGAGTAATAGTGATCAAAAAGTGTGTTATCCAAGTCGAACAACAATGCGCCACTTCTGTGTTGTATTGACTCCATAATCCAAAGCCCACGCACCAGTGCTGTGTTGTGCTGTGTATGTGTGTGTGTGTAGGTGTATGTAACGAGAGGTTGCAGGAACAAGAATAGGGAAGAGTAAATAGGAGAGGGGAGATAAAACAGGAAAAAAGGCAATATCAAAAAAGGAGAAAAATGTGAGTCAAGGAGAAAACTTGCTAACCAGCAAGGTATACGCATAGTATCAGTATTATACACCATAGGTGAAGGAGAAAAAGAGAGAAAAAGCTCAAAAAGGTAGAAAATGATAAAGCTAAACCATGGAAGCATCAGCAACTGAGTGTTCGCTTAACATTGGGTGGCCGACTCACGTCTCGTAAAAGTAGAGAAGCCAAAGGGTTGTGCGGTGATCTTGCAGCATAGTCGCGCCTAAGTGCGTCTTTCAGGACTCTTTGTGTAGTCCCATGGAAAAGGCCTTCCGACACGCAGTCCCGATGTGCTGATACGCGGCGTTGGGCCGCCCGAGGTTGATCTGATTGTCAGCCATGAGAGTATCGAACCAGATCATCTGCAAAGTGACGGCCTCGTCGAAGATGACAGCGGCCCCTATGGCGCGGAAGTACAGCGTCGCAGCCCCGGCGGCCAGGACCGCCAAGAGAGTAGCCTTAACCTGCGGTTGAATGGCCACGGGCGATGCAGTATGGCCGGTAAGGCTATCGAGGAAGCCGTCCAGCTCCGAAGGTGTACAGGAAGGCAGTCAATGTGGCGATGTCGATTTGAAGGTAGCAAAAAAGTCGCACGTCAAGTTCAGCGGCATGGGAGTTAGTTGAGCATCCTCCTTGCTGGATCGTCTACGGGCGATCTGGTGCGGGATGCCGAAGAATATGAACCATCTCCAGGCTCGGCTGCGTTTCTGGTATTGCGGACAAAAAGCTCCGGCAAATATCCTGCCTAATCGCAAAGTCGGACGAAGGACCGTAGAACAGCCATGAGCTGTCGGAAGACTCTAGACTCGTCCCAAATCCAGTCCGTTGTATGCCAGGCAGCTTGGAAGCGGATTATGCTTAATTGTTTTGCCTCGTTTGGGTTTAGTCCGATGCAGGGCAGCGTGCAACTGAGAGAAGAGTTTTGCATGAAACCAGTCACCGCGGACAGGCTGTGGTCCATGACATTATTTCGTATCGACCATGGCCCAGCGTTGAGGTAATGTCAATCTGCAAATTCGATTAGAAAACTCGTTTAGACCTTGGGTGTTTTAACAACGGCAATTAAACATTTTACATGCTTGGGTGTTATCGGAAACTTCACCGTTTATGTGCTTATAGTCGGAAGGGGTCATTATAGGCCGTGGTAAATTACAATCGGAAATGAAACCCTGCACGAAACTGCTAATCAACGCCATACATACGTAACGGAACCCATAGCCAAGCAGCCTTGCAATACCAAATCGGTGCGCGCTCTAATCCTGCCATCCAGCCATGCAACTGCCCATCTCCCAGTCTCCGCTAGCGCACTGTCTCCAACTGGACGAAATCCTACACTCCTCGGCCTCAAGTGTGTTGTCCTCGCCCATGCGGAAGAAGGTGACGTCACAGCAGATGGACATGGCCATCAGGCCGACCTCGCAGACGTGGGGTTTGTGCATCTTGAAGCTCAGGGGCGGGTCAGCGTGCTCCTTGAGCATCTCCTTGAGGGTGGGCTCGGAGCGCTCCGAGTAGACCTCGTTGTCGCCAAAGATGATGGGATTGCACATGATGGCGCCCTTGCCTATGTACTTCAGGGCACTCTTGGGCTTGTGGCAGAGGGCTCCCCAGAGCAGCGTCTCCATCTCAATGGCCTTTGCGTGGTTGCGCAGCTTGATGGTGTTGAGGGGGCCCTCCTCCTCTGAATCCTCTTCCTCGTCGGACGAGTAGTGACGCATCTGCTTGCCAGCCTTCTTCTCCTTCTTCTCCTTCGTTTTCTTCTTTTTCTTCTTCTCTTCGGGAGCCGGGGGAGACTGCGACGATGATGCTTTGCGTTCGCCATCGGGTTTCTCGCGACGGGCTAGCTGCTTGTTGTCGACATTTTCTCCACCACCCTGAAACTGGGGCTTCTTCTTCTTCTTCTGGCGCTCATCTGCTCCGGGTCCATGGGGGGAGGGATCGGTGGTCAGACCGAGAACGGAAGGCATTTTGGCTTCTTTCTGTTCTTCCCTTTCTATCTTCGCTATGCTGTGATGTTGCTAATGGTATATCGTATTGGAAGATGTGCTGTAGTGAATCGCGTTTGTTGTCGTCGTCTGCGCAGTCCGAATGATTCGATCGGGCTTGTGTAAGTTGGTGTATCGGACTATGTGCGCCGACAGAGAGGATTGGGAGAGACGGCACTAAAAGGGGCCTCGGGAGGGCAAGAACAGGGATAATTATGGCGTATGATGTCTCCAGTCACGCAGGCCCCTGCGCGTAAGTTGACGTCCATGTCCCAGAGTTTACTCTCATTGCCGAACGAATCTTGAATTCCTGCTTTTCTCGACTGGAGGTGACGTCAGGCGTCGCGGCTGCACAGCACAGTCGAGAGTCCAAACAGGGTTTCACTCCACGGCGCGGGAGAGAGAGAGAGACAGAGACGGAGAGAGGGGGAGAGCTTGCACCTGACGGGTCACCACGGCTTGCTACACTGCAAATCATTGCGGCTTTGGGGGCCACAGCGGCGGCCCCGCACCTGCGATCGAAAAATGACATCAGTCCTGCGGGATGCAACTGTGCGGCGATCTTTTGGAGTCCAGAACGCTGAGTCAGCTCAGACAGACCAGGGGTACCCCTGATCAGGGGAGGTTGTTGGAGAGAGGAAAGTGGACGAGATGCCGATTGCTACAAGTCCAATTTGTGTGTGTGTGTGTGTGTGTGTGTGTGTGTGTGTGATGTGTGTAATGCATGAGAAGTCTGGTTTCGCCCTGTTCTTGCTAGACTATTCTCGTGTTTAGTGGAACGTTGGATCAAGCAATTTGGAAAGCTACTTGAAGTGTGCCACCACGGGCTAGCAACCTTCCCCGCATCAACGGCTGAGATCGTCTAGACGCCTCTGGCTTTTCCAAAGGCTTTTGAGTCTCGAACTCCGTCCACCTGCCGTCTTCTCGAACCTGAACCATATGATTTCCTTCATTCACTTATGAGCAAATCACCATCGAGCATTGGGATCTGTGATATCTGCCTGTCACGATAAGCTCCCCCATCAACCTGATGTCTAAACGCCAAAACATATGGAGACGGCGAGGTCCTTTGGAAAGCCTTCGATCTCGTCCAATCAGGGAATCAATGAGAGATAGGGAAAATATCATAATAGTTATCATAGCGGGGTATCACCATGGCCGGGATGGACTCGGTGACCTAATCAAACGAGGACCGACGGGCCTTCAGAGACCGAGCTCCATCACTAGGGTAAACACGACAACGTCGCTGGGTGGAAGCAGAGCAGCCACAATGTAGATTGGCGAGACGCCAGTTGGCTGTGAGAATTTGATATTCAATGACCTTTGTGATATTGAAAATACAAGCAACTTATTTCAACAGGCCCGGTTTCAATAATGTATACCGATTGCCTCATTTGATATCCCCGTGGACCGTTTCTGGGAAGAGTTTTATATCCTTCTTTTTATGGTTTAGTCGCCTTACAGGCATAACTGTTTCTACATACAATTGGATTCATTTGACTTTTTTCTTTCTTCTTCTTCTTCTTTTTTTTCCCTCTTTGCTTAAGTATGGTAACAAGATTAAGAGGTTTGCCTTTTGGAAAGGGGGCTCTGGATTCTTATGAGACCGATGTTTCTGTGTTGATTTATTTTCCAGCCCTTTCAAATGAAAAGTCTTTTTGGATAAATACGATTATAATTCACCTTGCTTCTATTGAAGGTCTGCTGCGGCGGTTTTGACGCCCCCTGGATAAGATGTATTGTATATCTGGGCAGTTTGCCACCAAGACAATGTGCCTACCAGCGCGCACTGCCTACTCCCGTCTTGCCAGCAATGCCATTGACTCGTTCACGTCTGTATCGTTGATTAATGAGCTCTGGTTACTTGATTGGGTTGTGCACAGTTTCGTTTCGGTGTGGAAGCAGGTCGCATGACTAGAACGGCCGTCTCGTTGCCAGGGGTGAGGGAACCCCGAGTTTGCAGCCTCTCGGCTGTGTAAAGTATATCTAGTCAACGCATCAATTTGATTGTGAAACTCATCGGTTCCACAATCCATTCTAACAAGTTCCACGTCGAATTCTCCTGGCTCCGTAACAGGGCCATATCACACCTTGATTCCGTACCATGGACCCCTTGTCGGTTGCGGCTGGCGTTATTACAATATTTCAGCCGTTACGGGTGTTACATTCTGCCTTTAGGCAGCGCGAACTCTTCTTGGAGCCCTAGCCAAGTTTGCCGAATTGCTGGCTGAGGCACGTTGCATTTGTTTGCGCAATCCTTGTTACTACATTGGCCCCCGTACATACAGCTCGTAGGGATTCAGGTCTCCTCCAGCTCTACATGCATCTAGGACACGCGGTGGTTACAGCCTTCTATGAGTGAAAGACATCGGACTCGGTTTCGAGATTGACCATAGTATAAGTCAATAAAAACAATAGATCAATTTTCGTTCACAGGCCAGTCATTGTTCATGCAAGCGAGGAGCCAAGCATCATTCTTGCCTTTGATTACGAATTATCAATCAAGTTTACAAATACAAGTCTCAAGACGTCGCTGGATCTTGGAGGCACCACCCGACTTCATACTGCCTCAATCGCAACCTCTCGATCCAGACAGATTGTCAAACAAACAACACAGAAACAGTATGTCAGGAATGTTGGTGAAGGCGAGTGCAACCGTATGGACTCGGCGGATCGAATCGGTATATCGGATTTGGAACCAGTGAGAAATGCCTGAATCAAGGTAGTATCCAGGAAAGAACATAATGACTCGGAGTTGGTAGTGTGCAGATGAATTTTGTACGATGAAATGTGAGGATATTGGGTACTTAAAACAGGAAGTGCTTCGAAGCATACGGCGTAGCTGGAGCAAACTTAGAAGGGGTAATATGCTTGAGTTTCAACGGTTTTCCCATTTGGTGGTCATGCTCGTCCCGCAAAATTTCAAGTTTGATTCGTCCGTCTGCTAGGGCTCACTTCATACCATATTGGGATCGCTGTTCGGTATGATGAAACCCTACCAGTTCTATAGGTTTCAGGGGCAAGGCTAGCACCCAACCGGTAACTCCGCTCATGACTCTTCATACAAGGTCAATCATATCACCTGTAATTTTGTTGATCATATGTCTGATCTTGGCATCTATTGGCATGATTACCTAACTATAGGCAGAGACGCAGATCATGTTTTCTTGGCAAAAGTCGGAGAAAACAACTACTACAGACATCGGGAACATGGGGTCTGTGATCAGATCACTTGGAAAACTATGGCTATAAACGCACAAAATTTTGAATGACTGACGATGCAGAACGCAAGATGCCATAGGCTCATATCACCGCATACTAGCATCAAACAGGTCGAGAGCGTGGCTTAATGCCCGAAGAAGTATCCGATTTGTTCTTAGACTATAACTACATTTGCAGTTCCTTTCCATTGTTCTTTCCTGATAGACATCCAATCAAAAAAGCTTATCATACACCCGCATACGCTTGGGTTGTCGCCGTAATTGCACCAGATGTCAGGTGATACCATCAACGGTGGATGCTTGGTGCTGCAAACACTCGCAAGTGGTGGCGGCATGTTCCCTTGCCCTACGCAGCCCTGTGTAAGTTGTCATCAATCTAAGCCGCACCGGCAGCCTTCGCCTTCGCCTTCTTCTTCTTCTTGTTCTTGCGGGCCTCAAGGTGAGCGGCATCGTCCCCCTCTTCATCGCGAGCCTCGAGGTCGGCAACATCCCTGGCAGCGGCCTTCGCCTTCTTCTTCTTCTTCTTGTTCTTGCGGGCCTCAAGGTGAGCAGCATCGTCCCCCTCTTCGTCACGGGCCTCGAGGTCGGCAACATCCCTGGCAGCGGCCTTCGCCTTCTTCTTCTTCTTCTTGTTCTTGCGGGCCTCAAGGTGAGCAGCATCGTCCCCCTCTTCGTCACGGGCCTCGAGGTCGGCAACATCCCTGGCAGCGGCCTTCGCCTTCTTCTTCTTCTTCTTGTTCTTGCGGGCCTCAAGGTGAGCGGCATCGTCCCCCTCTTCATCGCGAGCCTCGAGGTCGGCAATATCCCTGGCAGCGGCCTTCGCCTTCTTCTTCTTCTTCTTGTTCTTGCGGGCCTCAAGGTGAGCAGCATCGTCCCCCTCTTCGTCACGGGCCTCGAAGTCGGCAACATCCCTGGCAGCGGCCTTCGCCTTCTTCTTCTTCTTCTTGTTCTTGCGGGCCTCAAGGTGAGCAGCATCATCCCCCTCTTCGTCGCGAGCCTCGAGGTCGGCGATATCCCTAGCAGCGGCCTTCGCCTTCTTCTTCTTCTTCTTGTTCTTGCGGGCCTCAAGGTGAGCAGCATCATCCCCCTCTTCGTCGCGAGCCTCGAGGTCGGCAATATCCCTGGCAGCGGCCTTCGCCTTCTTCTTCTTCTTCTTGTTCTTGCGGGCCTCGAGGTGAGCGGCATCGTTGGCCACAAAGTCTGGTGTACGGATTTCGACGGCAGCAACATCGTCAGTGTCGTCATCATTGTCACGAGCCTCTAGATTGGCGATACTCCTAGCAGCGGCCTTGGCCTTCTTCTTCTTCTTCTTGTTTTTGCGGGCCTCGAGGTGGGCGGCATCGACAAAGTCTGCAGCACGAGCCTCGACGGGAGCAGCAACGTCGCTGACCGGCGCAGTGGGAGCTGAGGCGGTTGTTAGTCAACCGTCATCTTCATTGGGGGCGTCTTTATGCCACAGCTCTGGGAGGGGGAGTGAACTAACCAGAAACGACGTTGCCGGCCAGAAGGCTCAGGGTAATGAGTGTGGCCGTAGTGAACCTCATGTTGAACAGCTTTCGTACGTGTAATGAAAGGATGACTCCAGGTCGTAGTAAGTAATGATTGTGAAGTAAACAACCGCGCGCAGCACGGAATGAATCCAAAGATCGAAGAATGGAATAGACTAAAGAATGCTGATGCTCAAGAGTGAAGAAGAAGAAGAATTGAACAACGAAGATTCCACCGAGACCTTTATATACATATCCTCTGCCTACTGACTTCTATGTTCATGGGCTCTCCCGCCACGTCTTGAAACCTCAAGCGGTGGCTTGTACTAACCATTCCCTTCCCCGTGGCACCACAAATGAGCATATTTTATTCGGGGTGGCATCTTTGAGCCATATCTTGCAACATGACTTGTTTAGAAGCCGGTTATCCGGCCGCAGCAGTTGCTACAACGTGACAGTGCCGCAGGCCAGGCTAGCACTAGTTGCGTCCTTGGTTTATCTCAGGATACCTAGATGCGTCTTCATCCCAAACTTGAGTTGATCCTGTTAACTCAGCCTGCCCTCGGACGGATGTTTGCGGGTTCCGGCATCTTGAATCAAGACTGATTTCCCAAACAGATACCCCTGCACGCAAATACGACAGTACACAGATACCTAGAGCCCCCCCCCCCCCCCCCCCCCTTTTTTTTTTTTGACACAAACTTAAACTGGGATGGTCCTGGCACCGTGACGGCACCGTGACCTGAAGCGTGCTCGCTGTTCCTCGTATTCAAATCACACTCGTCTAGGTGCCTCCTAATGGACAGGGATACCGGAGTGAAGTTCCGACGTGCGATGCATATGGTGCCAGAAATTTTGTTTACGCCAAGACTTGGACCGAAGAAACGGGTTTCCCCAGAATCTGGTTGCACTATGTATTATGATCCGAGTCTTGGCAGACGCAGATCGACTTGCGTATGGATTAAACACTTGAACTTGAGGTCCATCCGTCCATTGATCTTTAAGGCGATCATCGAACATTTCCCGCAAACTGGTTTCAATCGTAGTTCATTGATCAGGCTTCTTTAGCAAGTTGTTCGGGCATAAATATAGACTGGCTAGACTTGACAAATATTTTCCTCACCAGGCCACCTCTTGTAGGGTTTCCCGGATCAGACTTTGAGTGAAATCAGATGATTTTTGTCCCACGAAGTTGATCGTCCAAACTCGTGTTAATAGCGACCTGTCACTAAGGCCCTCAAAAATGCGCACCATGGCAAGGGAGCACTTTTTCAGATGAGTCTGAACCATTATTGGAAACCCAGGACATATTAATGACTCGGCCACTAAGCACGACATGATTTTCATAGACTGTGTGAGTGTTGTTACAAGTGATCGCAAGCGACAGCACGCTTTGATTGATCTGCATTGCGCATTCAGTTACACCCGGTTACCGGCATTTTGGATATGCACGTGTAAGGTTGGCGGCAACATTTGCCGTAGTGTGTAGCACCCGATCCTCACTCGTCTCATGTTTTTGTACACTACACGGCTCCCCCATATTGACCACGGGATTGCTTGCCCTTTCACCCCGAAGGTAAAGTTACGGTGTACCGTTTCCGGTCAAGGAGGGTGGGGCAGCTGTTTCGTGCGACAATAACTGCCTGACACATCATTCGACAACCCGAACCGTATCAACTTACCTTGCCACCCTCATTTAGCCTAGCTACTTTCACACTGGTTTATTCTCGCTGTCATCCTTAAACAGCGTGTTTCAGTGAGTATCAAGAGGGCCTGGAGACGAATCCATGAATACACCGCTTGGAGCCATTGTACAATAGAATGGTCACATCTGATGGAATTTGTTCTCAAGTCAGCTGCCAGCAAGGAGGACTTTTCATCTTGCTGCACTTCATGTGACGGACCTCATAAACGCTATCAGCTTTGTCACAGAAACTGCATGGGTTGTTTCATTGATGAGACACCTTCAACATAGCTAAAGTAATGTCACAAGTGCCGGTATTGCTGGTTTTTTTGTTTTCTTGTGTTGAAACGCATACCTCATGCCACGTAGACTTTCCTCCACGAGATTGGTTACACTCAAGAATGGCTTGCCAATAGCACATCTCTAAACTGTGCCTGGATCCAAGCAGGTTGACATTTCGTGCTGCTGTGAAAAACATGTAGTAGCTGGTTTTGTAAGTTATCATGAGAAAAGATATGTAATACCTTGTAAAAACACTATAAATTAGTATATATCGCGTAGTAATTGTGATGTCTTTATAATACCGATATAGTAGATCTTTAAAATGCACTTAGTTGGTTATCTTATTAAATTTCTTCTGAGGACACCACAGCTGGGTAACAAACTTCTCACAGCACTGTTAACCGTTTGTCGCTCCTGGACTCTGTTACCAGCCCTTCTTTCCGCTTGTCCTAAGTCTATTCTACTCCTAAAACCTAAAGTGTAGCCTTTGCTAAAGATAATGCCAAGGTCTGACCATGTTTTGGTCCTAATCCCTAAAAGAATTGTCTTATCTTCTTGACCCCTATGCATTCAGCTAATTATGCGCTCTTCTCCCGCAAAGCATTAGTAGCCTAGTAGGTGCAACGCTATTTGCACTGAGCGATACTTGACCATCACACAAAGCTCCTGTATCCGCGGATATAAGGAATAGTGTAAAAGCCTCTTATCGCAGAACAATACGTGCCAATTACTAACTAACAATAATAATTATGTCAGTTTACTTGTTGACCATCAAGTGATTACCTTTGTTGTCAACATGTCTAGGAAAAACGTGTCAATGTTATCGGCTAACGTGCTTGCGTTCTTCTTTGAGAATTACTACACTAGGTAAGCCTTCATTAAAAATTGTAGGTACAGCTGACTGTTAATGATCAGCGCGAGATGATGTCTAGCCTAGGCTGAGTGATACTTTGTTGCGGCTGTTGAAAGGCCTGTCAGCAACATGCTCTCTACTGACCAGGCTGTGGGAAGCACTCGATGCGCCAAGGAAAGCTGCAATGATTGGCGGTGGCTAAACCCTGCTTTTGTAGTGGTTTTTGATTTAACTGATGTTTGAGCTAAAACAAAAATACAGAAAACGGTTAATTATAGACCGCAGCCAAACTGGCAAGCATCCAATACGTCATGCTATAATGCTGTCGCGATGCCTTCATGGCATCGCGCGAGATTTCACCGGGACCGGAACATATAATAGTCCGGACCACCTACATAACCCGCCCCCCCGGAAGATACGTATATCTACGGCGCATAAAGAGAACGACCACCACAAGAAGCCCATCTAGAGCGGCTCTCCGTACTCAGTACAGTTTTGCCAGTACACAGTACTGGCTAAGCCGGGGCATCCAGCTATGCAAATGCTGGTTGGCCAAGTAACAGACAACCTTTAAATACTACTCAACTCCACGTCCGAGGGTTCCCCAACCACTTTTGAAGACGTAATGGCTACCACAGGCCCTTTCGCATCTACTCAAGTCATGATGGACTACTTCTCACGGGCAACGGGTCAAGAACATACGGGCGACGAACTGGAATCGCTGATGGCTCCACGGAAGATTGGGGATGTACTGGTGTTGCCAAGAGAAGGCTTTGGGTGGTTGGCCCATGAGCATACCCACAGTAAAGGAGACCCTTCTATTCTGGTAGAGCATTTATTCATAGCCTCGTGGAGGCAAAGCCACCCAGGATGAGAAGACTTCACCTTGACTAACGCGTCTCCAAAGAGAGGACGAGCACTTCCTGCTCATAAGTTCATGAGGAACTTTGATACACAATGGATTTGTATTACTAGTGCGAATTTTTAATATTCCTTTGATGGGAAAGAAAGCCAAACGGTGTTGTAGAATTTTGAATGTCTTAAAGACCAAAACAGTACGTTGTTGTTACATCACACGTCGAAAAGTGATCACAGAAATCTAGGTTACCTTATTCAATTACCTGTTTCAGGGAGAGAAGGACATCGGCTTTTCTACTCTGAAGTTCGGGTTCCGAGCCGATGAGATAACAACACACAAGCTTCAGAACGCTTCGACTTTATGGCGAGCATGTGAAAGATGCAATAAAAAAACGTATCAATCATTAGATTAGTGGGAGGATAGATCGAGATTGGATGATCTGTAAAGTGAAAGCTAGTCGAGATAAATTTCAAGTTCGCTGATGTTGAGGGCCAGGTTAAAGCTGGTGAAAGCTAAACGAGCTCAGTCGAGTCTAAGGTCCTCGACGAATCCTAACTCTGACAATTAGACCGTGTTTGCGGCAGAAATAGGTTAAAAGAAGATTAGAGTGGTGGCGTAATTATCGGCTATCTGTCTGTCCTTACGTCAGCGCCCGCGGCTTCACAAAATTGACGCAATCTTGCAAATGCCCGGGAACTCTGTCTTTGAAGTCACTTCCTGGCGAGGGAGAATATCGGCTGCCTTTTGACTTCCTGTGCAGTAACATGAGCTTCTTATCAACGATTCAGTGGCATCGCCTACTCACCGCATTGTTCACATGTGAAGGCCAGAGGGTCTGGGATAGACAAGCCTCAATGTCTCAAACATTATTTGCAGACTTTGGGATAAGCCAGTTTCAGGAATAGGCTTGCTAGGTAGAAGGTGACCTGACAATCGAAGTTTTTACTTAAAATAAAAGAAAAGATAAAGTAAACAAAGCTGTCATGGTGAAGTAGTCGGTAAACTGATTCATACCCTGATTATGTAGTGTTGCGTAGGCAATAAGGTTCAAACTCTAGCCATTCAATTAATCCAATGAGAAAAACCCTTTCTGATAAGCAATTTGTTAGACGTTTGAAGCAGGTTTCTGGCATGTGCCACGATCCCTTATCTTCGCTACCTTTCAGCCTTTGGTACATTCAAGAAAAGATTGATAATCTCGAATTATCCTAAATCAGACAGTCCGGACTGGGAGACAAACCAAAGGATCTGGCTATTGTTTATGAAACCAAGTCAGGTAATGGTTGGGTTGAGTGGTCATGATAACAACATGAATAGTTACAGAACCCAATGTCTCAGCGGCAAAGGTGTCGCATGGGGCTCATCAAATGTATCCAGCATATGGTGTGGGAAAGGGACGCGTAGTGATGATGGTGATGATGGAATAAAATCATGTGGGTGTAAATAGACCATCCCAAATCTTACTTTGAAGCTTCTTCTCTTAATATTGGGCACCTAGCCCCAAAGAAAGTAGTTTGTTGAGAAAGACTTCCAATAATCGCAAGTCGCGATATTTGATTATACTATGTATATTACTCCATAATAGTCCTCGCGGTCTTTTATTAATATGTGACTTTTATTGCCAGTACCCATGAGCAGCTTTCTATCTTCATGACAGGGCACATCCTTGCGAGAGACTCACTCACCTTCTTTGAGGGCCCATTGCTAACAGCAACAGTACAAAGCTGCATGCTACCACCAAAATTGGGTTTATTACCAATGCCTTCAGCATGAAACATGATCACATGGGATATGATTAGCATTGTTGAGGAGTTTCCTTCCATGCTTGCAGTTTTGATATGAAAACCTATTGATATCAGAGTTGCCTGCATACATGCATATGCGTCAACGTATGATTGATCCAACACATTCCATGCCCTACTGATGAGATCTGTAAGGGCAATTTTTTCTTGCATCTGCATGTACTTAATTAGATCAAACCTTAACTTACTTCTGGTTGCATCATCGCCCTAGATGAGTATAGGACAGGACTGACCACCAATACAGAGATAAGTTCTGCAACATGTGTTTTTCACATGCATTTTCATATGAGAGAGCGGGTTCAAATGCCAAAACTTCTGTTGATAAATAACCTGTTACAACTCTTCTTGTGTTTTGTATTTATGAGTATCGTATCGTTTATCACAATTAACAAATCAAACCATTTTCTTCCATATTAATCTATTGCGATCTATTCAAGCCAAAACGACAAACCTTCACAATGGCAGTATCGGGTCCGATCAGAACCACTGTCCCGACTGATGGCCTGCGTTCTAAACGGTCTGCCCACCGTCTTAACCAGATTGAGAAGATCCGAGCCAGCGGCATTGGCGATTTGGTTGACTTGCCTCAGCTGGTTGTTTGCGGTGATCAGTCTGCTGGGAAAAGCTCTGTTCTTGAGGGAATCACTGGTATACCATTTCCTCGAGAAGCGGGTCTCTGCACTCGGTTTCCGACTGAGATCATATTGCGCCATTCCAATGAGCCGTTAAAAGCCAAGGCATTCATTCGTCCTCATTCTGGTCGTTCCGCCGATGTCGCACAAACCCTTCGCAACTATGAGCGTGAGATGAAAGAAGACCTCTCGGACCTTCCAGTTGCCATTGAAGAGGCATCTAAGCTCATGGGAATCCGCGGTTTTACCGGTTCTTCGAACGATCCGGCCTTCGCTTCAGATGCCCTCCGCATCGAAGTTACAGGTCCAATCGGACTACAACTCAGTGTCGTCGACCTTCCTGGCCTCATCTCTGTTGCCAACGAGGAACAGTCCGAAGGAGATGTTGACACTGTCCATGCCATGGTCAGGAGCTACTTGTATAGCACCAGAACTATTATTCTCGCTGTTGTTCAAGCTAGTAACGACATCGCAAACCAAGGCATCATCAAGATCGCCCGCGAGTACGACCCAGACGGCCAACGTACTGTGGGAATTATCACCAAGCCCGATCTTATCAACACCGGCAATGAAGATAAGCTTGCTAAAACTGCAAAGAATCAAGACACTATCAAGTTGAAGCTTGGTTTCTTCCTGCTCAAGAATCCAAGCCCTGCGGAGATGAAGGCCTTGGGTGCGAAGCTGAACCGCTCTGAGCTGGAGGCAAAGTTCTTCACCTTGCCTGCTTGGAAAGTCCAAGACCTTGATATGGCCCGTGTCGGTATAGAAAACCTCAAGATCTTCTTGCAACAACTCTTAGATGAACACCTTGAGAAGGAGTTACCGAAGGTCAAGGTTGAGATTCGGCGGGTCCTAGCATCAAAAGAGGACGAACTCGAGGCGATTGGACCAGAGCGCCGGTCTCTTGGTGACATCCGCTCATTTATGATACATTTGAGCATGCGATACTACACGCTTGCTCAGGCCGCCCTCGAAGGAAATTACCACAGCTCAGATGTGCACTTTTTTGACAAAAGAAATGGCACCCGTCTCCGTTCTCTTATTCATCAACAAAACGGCCAATTTGCCGCACTAATGCGTAGTCGGGGTCATAAACGAACAATAGTGAACGATCCAAATCGTGAGGCAAATAAATCCAGCGATATTAATGCAAATGCGCAGCTCACAGTTACAAAAGACGAGATGATTATGTGGATTCAGCAAGTATGTTCTTCGCTCCCATTTTATTGAGTAGTGAATAACAGCTGCAGACTTATTTACAGACCAGGGGCCGGGAGCTTCCTGGTAACTACAGTCACGTTTTGCTTGCCGAGCTTTTTCATGAACAGTCAGGTCCATGGCGCCAGATTTCAGAGGACCACCTTTCTGGAGTTATGGACGGCGTCTGCAAATGGGTTCACCAGGCGGCTTCTACACTCTTCTCCGAAGATCGCTTGCGACGAGAACTGACCATGATTTTTCAAGAGCGGTTAGAAAAATTCAGAACTCACGCTTTTGAAGAGTTACGCAAGATATTGCTTGATGAAGAAAGACATCCCATTACGTACAACCATTACTATACCGACAACATACAGAAAGCTCGCAGAGACTACCATAATTCGGCTCCCAAAGATGCTATAGATCCCATGGCTCCTTCCAAATCAAGATTGGACCTTGAGTCTCGCCCAGACGACTGTAACCCGCTTGCAGATGCGTTACAGCCTAAAATGTGTGTCAATATGGATCATCAGGCTTGTGAAGAAGCTCTGTCTGGGTTGAATGCCTATTACAAGGTAGCTGATGTCCCCCATTCTTATAGGAATTTCTCACAATTCGATAGGTTGCAATGAAGACTTTTATAGACAATGTTTGCAAGCAGGTTGTTGAGCGTCACATCTTGGTGCCGCTGCCAGAAATTTTCTGCCCAACTACCGTCTCTCAATTTTCTGACGATGACCTGCTTCGCATTGGTTCTGAGCCGGAGACCCAGACTACTCGGCGCCAAAAGCTAGTCACGGAAATCCATGGACTTCGGAACAGTCTCGTTGATTTGCAGGGCTTAATAACCTAGATCTAGTCCGGCGCTTATTGGATTAAGCACCCTACTCAAAGGATGGCTTTCGTCTATTTAGCTTGGTTTTACTCCATAGATTTCTACAACAGAGTACTCGCGAGACGGAAGCCGTGAGTGGCTCGCTGATTTATGCTTTGGCTCTGAAATTGTTTGTTCATAGACATTATCGCGGTTCTAGGTTCTTCCCGCCGGACTCTTCCAGCGCCTTTCACTTTAAAGCACGCTAGATAAGAAAAATATCCCTTGGCTCTTATGGTAGTAACTGATGCAGATGGATGAGCCTTCAAGAATTGTACGAGAAGCTGCGGGTTCAGATGATATAGCTAACGGTTGGCGATCAACAACCTATTTATGTCAACAGTACCAGCCTTGGTATCCATTTTGTCAGGAGGTGAATTTTGCTCAATGGCTTTACCTGTACGACTCGTTAGTTTGAGATCAAGGGACCGTGTTGTCGTACAAGAAACAGAGGGTCGCGCAGCCATAGATCAAGTGTACAGTCCTCGAGACCACCCAAGCGGAAGACTGAACAGCACGGGAGTCCCCTCCCCAGTCCCAACAATAGGAAAACAGAGTATCGGACGGTTATAATGCCCACTCTCCATACTTGGCCTCCCCACAAATGATGTCACGTAACAAAACGATACCGTTAGTTACGTGGGCAGTAATAGTAGCTTATATATTGTGACAAATGAGCTGGGTGCGCCAAAATCAAGACCCTATCACACCCAACTCCACCATCAGAAAGATAGACAAGACTTTCATCGAGCAGAACAAGAAACATGAAACAGACATTGAAACCCCCAAGAAAAAACGTCTTATCGGCTTGGATTACCAGTAAACAGGGCAACCGCAGTGACCATTCAAATGTCAATGGTCAGACTCGGACGTCCTCGAGCCCCCAAGCTATAATATCCAAGCCATTACAAACAAAGGCTTCCTGGGCGCGTGGCTGCCCACATAAGTACCCTGCATCCTGTAACGCTCTACGTAATATTCGAGGAACGTTGACTGGTGTGTATCTTCTTTAAGTCGACAACGGGTAACGGAATGCGAAGGAAAGCGCTCCCTGCCGCGAGAACAGGGAGCAATTGACAGCATGTCGATCGATCCGCCCACGAGACCTGCGACGCTTTCCTGCGGCTTCAGGCGGAACCCATAGTATCCGGGTGGAGTGAGCAGTAGACGGAAAGTCAGATGAAGTGAAAGACCCCAGCCGCCGCGGCCAAGACATTTGTCTACTGGTTTTTCCCCCGCCCCCATGCTCAAATTTCGGAGCCCATCCCCGACCCTCGTCTTCGTAGCTCCCGCCGAGCCTCTCGGCAATGCTCGGCGCGGCACGCCATCCCCCGTTTCAGACCAATAGGCGGGCGGTGACCTCACGCTAACCTCGCTTGAGAGTCATGTCTGACGCTGCCAAATGAACATCTTGTTTTCTAGCCTCTTGGTATCTAGCCTTGGATGGTCTTGGAACCTCGAATCCTTCCACTCACGGGTCTTCTGGCTAGCTCGCGACTTGACTGAAAACTGGAGTCTGAGCACCCATTTGCCGTGTCATTCTCTTCTGTTACTATGGGTAGGCGATGAATTTCTCAGTGCCCTACTGAGTGGATTTCCGAAAGCGAAACTTTTTCAATGGAGAACTCGTCTGAAGTCTCCCAGCTAATCCAAGGTATTAGTCTCATGTCGAGTTGATCATATAAGCGGCCCGTCGTGACTGCAAGGTTGCAAAGCCCAAAATGAGGCTCTTTGCGCGTATCCCGTAACACCTTGCTCTTTATCCCGACGATAGCGGCCGGCGGACGGCGGACGGCGGACGGCAGCAGCAGGCCATCGGGAGACGACCTTCCTCGCCCGTTTAGTGGCATTCCACCATCAAAGCCCCGTCATCACCGCCAAGTTGTTTTTCGAGCCAAGGCCAATGCCCAGACGAACACCCCGACGCATCGAACTAACTCGACCAGTCAGTCCCCATCTCCCTATCTCTTGACGCTTGTCGTCTGGTGTCTGGTGTCCACGGGTTAGTGTGCCCATTCCCGCTTCCTTCCGACGACAGTCTCTGGTTCCCAGAAAGACTCCCGTCACCCCCCCTCTTCCGGACCCCTGATGGCCCCAGTTACGTATGCATGCAGCCCACATCCTCGCTATCTGACTTTGTCTCTTGTACCACGAGCCCCAAGCCAGTTTGTGGCCATTCCAATGTCTCATTCGCATGTGTGTGTGCAGGTACGAATGCCCAAGGCAGACAGGCAGACGAGGAATTGCCAGTCCAGAACGAAGGATTGGCCAAGTCACCGCAGGCGGCCCGCTCCCAAATCGAGAGTGACTGATGGGTAACGCGGGACGAAGTGGATCCTCTTCCACCTTCCTTTCGCGTGGAAGATACCAACTGCTGTGCCTTATCAGTTCTGATTCCATCATTGGCAAGATAAATATACGTGCCGTGCCCTATCTCGGTGAAATCCTTCCTGGCGGTACATCCCAGCCAAACCAGCAGACCACCCATGCGGACTGCCTCCAGCTCAGCCCCTTTCTTCAGGAAGATGTAACCACATTTGGTGTTTATACCGCAGACAACTGGTCCCGGATCGCCACATGCTGATAGATAGACAAGACTTCTCGGTGCAACCCATGAGATCAACCTAACCCACGAACCCGGTTGTCTTCCCGTATATATCCCTCTCTAAGGGCCGTCGATCCGGGTCGAAGTTCCTCTCTTCTCCTCTCCTCTCCCTTCTCAGCGTAGCAGCGATCTTGTTGCGGGCTCCTATATCCATCTCTTTCCCAACCCTGCATCTCCAAATCTCTTTTCATGATCCACTAGAGTCGTGTGTGCTACAGCTCAAGAGAACTGCCAACGATGGAGAAGTCGGAGTACGGCACCGCCGACAAGGCCGTTCAGGAGAACTCCTCTATGGAGCAGGCTCAGCAGCCTTCCGTCGCCTCGAACGAATCTGTTCATGAGAAGAAGCCGTGGTGGCACCCCGTCATCGAGCCAGGCTCTGCCGTACAGATCATCATCGCCGCCGCCATCGCGGTTGCCATCGGTCTGGGTGTCAAGAGCGTCCACCCGGATATCCCTGATGCGGCGACGACCATCCTCATCATCCCCGGTAACCTCTGGCTGCGGTCCCTCAAGGCTGTCGGTATGTTCTTTTTTTCTTCGCCTACATACTCCCAGAGATCATCTTCCAGGTACTCCCTCCAGAGTGCCGCAAGCTGACACGACCACTAGTCCTGCCCCTCATTGTGACGGCCATGATTCTTGCTGTTCAGAAGCTCAAGGAAATCTCCAATGGCGGCGCCAAGCTCGCAAAATGGACCATCGGATACTACGTCATTACCACTATCCTGGCCATCGTTCACTCCATCATCATGACATCTCAAGTCTGGGCCCGCCTCATGACTGTCGCCTCAGCCGATTCCATCGCGACGGATAGCATGTCCGCTAAGGACCAAGAGTCGTACGAGTCGCGCAAGGACCAAGACATCCCAGCCACCGTCACCGAGCTATTCAACTCCCTGATCCCAGCCAATGTTGTCGATGCCCTCGCCTCGGACCATCTCCTCGCCGTCCTCGTCAGTGCCGTCGTTGTGGGCTACCTCATTGACGATCGCGGCGGTCGCTCCGCTATCATCAAGGCAGTCACTGAGGTCGAGGCCCTCATCATGATTATCATTACCTTCCTCATCAAGCTTGCCCCTATCGGTGTCTTCTTCCTCATCCTGCCCAACATGTTCAGGCTTGACATCAACGATATTGGTGTCAACCTGGGTGTCCTGATGGGTGGAGCCATCAGCTCAATGTTCTTGCACCTCTTCGTCATCCTCCCCATCCTCTTCTTCGCCTTCACGCGCCAGAACCCTTACACATTGTGGTTCAGCTGCTCGCCTGCTTGGTTGACAGCTTGGGGTACCGCTTCCTCGGCCGCTACTCTATCCGTTACCATGCGCTGCTGCCGTGAAAAGCTCAAGATTCCCGAGACCGTCAACAAGTTCACCGTCCCACTAGGGTGTCTTGTAAATATGGACGGAACCGCCATTTACTTCCCCATCGTTGTCGTATTTCTCGCCCAAACGCAGGGTCACGTACTCAACGCAGCGGACTACATCATCATCCTGTTGCTATCGACCCTGGCTTGTATTGGAACCACACCCATTCCCAGTTCCTCTCTGGTCTTGACCGTCATGATCTCTTCTAGCGTTGGCATCCCGCCCAGTGGAATGTATGGTGTCGTCGTCGCCATTGATTGGTTTATTGACCGATTCCGTACCGCCACCAATGTCAGCGGTGATCTTTTCGCCGCTGTCGTCGTTGCCAAAATGACTGGCATTACCGACCCTGATGATGGCTCGGAAGAAATTGTTGGGGAATACAGCCAGAACCAGAATGATGAACGTGTCTGAGGGCCTTTGAATAAAATGTCTTGTGTAAGATGGAACGTGAAGGATACTGTGTAAATACAAGCGAATATCGCTTTGATTCGATCTTTATGAGAACCAGGCCTCTTTGATATCACCAACTTCTCCTAGTAACACACATATCTCAGCGAGGGTTCTCCTCGTCTTATAATTGCTGGCCCTTCTCTTACGATGGCACTCAGTGACTCCAGTGTCGCACGGCAATGGGTCAAGAATGCCGCACCAGGGTTAATAACAAGTCTAGACGGTTCCGTCTTTTGCCCGTTCAAGGACCGGAGGCCCGACACGAATGTGCTCCTTGGTAGCCCGGCAAAATCACGGTTTCCCGTTGAGGTCCTGTCCATCGAATTCAACCGTGCTACGAGCAAAGCATTGTTGGGCTAATGTTGGAGCTCCCCTACACACCCTCACTTGGCTGAAAGTCGAATTCGAGCATATGCATGCTGCTTTTTTGGCTTGACATCCATCCGGATCTTGGTATCTCACAAACCACGTTTTGCTGCATTCATAAATCATAACTGTAAATCAAACCATGTTCAGGACATGTCGTTTGTAAGCGTGACCCTACAGTATGAGCCTCGAGAATGGGCTCCGGTTCGCGTGGCTAGGCCGTGTATGCGTTGCATGTCACGACTAGTATCAGCAGAGCATCACATAGATCTTCCAGCAAAAGCGCATTCAAGCTATGTCTCATCCCCTAATTCTCCTGCTAGCTAAGTGCTGCCCGCAACTTTCCTTCTCCGCTTGTTATCATGCCAATCCGGACGTCTGTTCTCCGTCTCCGTTGCTTCTAACCTCAGCCATCCACCACTCTCGTGACGTCCCATGTAGTGTTGGTGTAGATAGTCCCGGCCTCCGCTCGTCATTGCATTCCACTCCCTCTTGGATGGAAACCGGGGAAGAAGCCGGTTCGAGCCGATTCGGGCGTCGAAGTCCCGGACGGCCGGCGGAGGATCCAATGCTTGGCCAGCTTGGGGTTTCGCAGAAGTCCACCTGAGCCGCGATGCTTTGTTCCACCGCACCAAAGCCTTCCTGTTCGAGTCTGCGTCGCCAACGTACGAGGTCCTCAGGTTGTACAATGGTCTGAGAGCGGGAGCCACGTTGGGCGGCTCGTACTTGAAGTACGGCCCCATCAGTTGGCTGTGGTTGACCGAGTGCATGATCACGCCAGTCGTGATGTCGCTCGGCTTCATTTCCAGTTTACTGTGCACAGAAATGGCACTGCGCAGGTGGTCGTGCTCCCAGTCCCCAGTCCATTGGTCGTTCTGAGCGTCCCATTGGAACCCGGGCCACCATGGCATCGGCATGTGGCGGTCCCAGACATCGAACGACACCGTGCTGATATAGTGCCCGTGAAGCGACCTGTCGCCGGCCTCGTACCGGGGCAGTTCGGGTGTCACGCGCACAACGGGCTGGAAGTACCGCAATTCAGGATCCGTCACGAGAAGGATCTGCTTTCTGTCCTGGAACCTCCACAGCCGGTAGTTTTCCTGAGACGACTGCTTCCCGTACACCCTCATGCCGTACGGATGTCTCTGTAGCCACTGCTTCATACCCTGGTTATCATTATTGTACGTACTTGGATATGGGGGACGGGTGAATGTGATGACTTCAGTGTCAAAGTAGTCCGCCACTAGATGAAGCATCTCGTGGAACCCTGCTTCCCTCGGCATTCCTGCCATCACGTCGTTTCTATTCAAACAACGCAGGATGTCGAGCGCACCCCAATCGTCCGTGTCGTCCGGGTCCACGCTGTCCACCGAGTCTGAGAGTAAGTGATGGTACATTCGGTATCTCTCTGAAGATGGGTTTGTTAGATTCTCATAGAACCATTCGGCAACTTTTCCCTTGATCCATTTCGCATCAACTGGATCGTCTTCGACCAGGATCCTAAGAAGAACGTTGGTCAGCCTAACCTACGCAGGGGGGATAGGGCCATACTTACGCGAGGGCGTACCACAAGCTATTCTCGTCTCTTGGAACCGGACCGGCGTAAAAGGTGTGGCTGAGAGCCCGCTTCTGGTTAGCTAGCTTATCCTGAGGGAATCGAAATACGGGTTCGGCACAGAAGCCATAGCAAGAGAAAACGTCCCTTAAGTCGTGCAGCTCTCGTTTTTCCGCATCGGCGATCATATGCCTCGTTGCCAGCCATGCTCTTCGTTTCTTCTCCTTTTCTCGCTCCATCTGTTCCTTTTTCGCCACTTTGATCGATCCGTAAGTCCGCTGAAAATCATTGTATGGTAGTGGAACCACAACCATGTCGTCCCAGTTGGACGCCTCCAGATCAAGCGGAGCGTCGTCGCATCTGCCAGCGTTGCTCCAGGGGGCGATCTGAATCTTCTTGTCTGGTCTCCAGTCCTCATGTTCGGGCCTCCGTATGCCCGCGAGACTGTGGATCGCCGACAGAAACCGTCTGTTGGCCTCGAGGAAGCGTCGTTGCTGAACGGAACCCGGTTTCGAGAATTCCGCCGAGTCGTAGATCGACTGGGCCACTGTGTTGCACCACGTTGTGAAGTCCACTGGGTCCGGTCTATGAGCTAATGGTGTTTGCTGTGTCGAATGTAAGCCAAGGATCCTATAAGCCAGCTGGGGGTCTCCGTAGTCCGGGCAGCACCCAAGAATTTCTGTGATCGATGGTATTGCTCGAGGTCGGACCCATTGGCCGGGAGGATTTTGATATGCGTTGGCCAAGTTATTGTTCATGCCGCTTTGGTTTCAGTTCGCTGTGATATTAACAGGTGAAAAAGAAAAGCTTGAGAAATATAACGGCAGTTTCAAGAGTCGATATAAGTAGCAAATGGGAACTTTCTACCACCAGCTGAGCCCCCGAATGTTACTTCGGGGAGGGCTTCAGGGAGGTGCATTGTTGCCATCCTTTTGCACAGGTATTTCTTTGATGAGCAACAAGAGTGACTTGATAGCCTTTGTGAAGTGTGGCAACATCTTCCAAGTCGTCAGTGTCACTCCCATGCTACAGATGTTAGAATCACGCATGCCAACGATTTACTTGAATCTACAGTGTACTCAACAGAACACATTGTTATAGACCCAATCCAACTGCCAAAACTGTATCAAAGGACTATGAATATCTTCTGTCCAAGGGGGCCATTTGAACGGACAATGGGCCAAAGGCTCTAGGCTAAGACGTTAGGACAAGTCATGCTGAACATAGATCAAGCGTTCATCGCCAAAAAATCCATAGAAGGAGTCTGCTACATATAATGATTGAATAACCGATACCAAGCATTAAGCCGTTTGCACCCAAGTGACAATCAGATAGTCATGTGTTATTACACCAAGTTCAGTTGAGCTACGTCAAGCCCAGCAACTTGTGTTACTGAATCCTGAGATCACCATGAAGTAGGGAATATTGAGTGAAGCACGACCATAATGAGCAAAGTCCAGAAAGATATCGGTAAGGTCATCTATCCCATCCCAAAACACGCCATGCAATCTCGTCCAAGTCCATCTCCCTCTCTTGTTATTCCAATGAACACCAAAATAAGAATAAGAAAATCTCCCATTGCGCTGCGCCCGCTTTGCCGTTCTCTAACAGAGACCCGCACTCTCAATACCCTGTAAAAACATGTTCTAAATGGAGCTGCAGGAGCACGATCGCCGTCGTTGGTGGTCCTCGATCAGAAGCAGATGGCCCGAAGTACACAGCCATAGGTGCAAACCGGACACGGCTTTGCCCCAAAATAGCTCAAAGGAAATACCGATACAAAGGACATCGTACAACAAACACTACATAAGCTCAGGCCTCTGGATAGCCTTTAGCTTGCAGCTGATGAATTATCCCAACGTGCTGAAAGCAAAGAAAGCAGAAGATACTCCAGGACACCCCCTTATTAGACAGGCTGCGGGTGTTATGTGTAATGCTTGTATATTGCCGGCTGGGCCCCCTTACCCATTCTCTCAAGACCTCACCTCCTCTCCTGCCCCTCCCGCTTTCTCTTGGCGCCGCCACTGCCGCTGCTCTCAAAGCTCAAGTCAACGCTCCACAGAGAGTCCCATACGATACTCCGTTTCATTGGACTCTCAACGCTGGCCCCGCTCCTCTGGCGCTGCAGTTTTGAGGGCGATCGAGCTTTCTGATCGGAATCAGTGAGTGTAGCCCAGGGGAGAGAACACAGAGATAAGGGAGTCTAAGGACCGACGAGGGAATCGATCGTGTTTCGTACCTCGGGCGAACTGGGCCTCTCATCACCCGCCTGCGCGGGGTGACCCTCTTCCGCAAGCGGGCTCGAAGCTTGCCCAGCCTGTCCCGAATGCTCGTGCCCATTAGCCGATGACTCAGGCGGCCCGTCCTCGGGCGGGCTCGTTTCTGTCGGAGTATCCGGCGCAGCTGCGCGGAGTGAGTTGGTTTCGCTGCCCAAAGCATTGCCCTTGAGCAGCGCCGCACCTCCACCAACGGCGAAAGGGAGAGCCTTCTTCGAGTTGGAACTGCTCCGACGACTCTCGAGACTCTTGCTCAGCGCTTTGCTGACGCCCTCAATGCTGTGAGGATTTGCCCGCTGCTTGTCTTTGCCGCTTGCCTGCGCATGAGTATGCATATCCGCCATGGCCTCGACATTGTTTGTCGCGATTGTAGACTTGCCCAATCCAGGTGTGGCAGGGGCACCCGGCTTATCCTCGTGTGCATCGATCAGATACCATCGCAAGCCGTCTGAGAGCTGGAACGGGTTGTCATCCTCCTCGTCATTGACCGAATCGTTATCTGGTAATTGCTTGTGCAGGCTCTTCGAAAGATCTACCACACGCTCCTGTATCCGAGTGATGCGAGCGACGAGCCATTCACGCGAGCGGAGACGATGCGCGTCAGTCTCTCGCAGAAAGTAGTGAGGAAAGCCCACGTTAAACGCAGCCCAGGCACCGGCTGTTTGGTTTCTTGTGGGGAGGAATAAAGCGAGATCCCCTTCCTTGAAATGCTTGAAGGCAATCTTCTCATGCGAGTCCCGCTGCAGGGTATGCGCCTTCTCCCTGTAAGCGCGCGCATCTCGCTGAAGTTTCCGAGCGAGATGTTCGACATCCTTGACACGCCTGTAGACCGTCTCGGCAAATAGGTCCATGTCGAAGCTGCCCAGACGTGTCATGAAGGCCTCGTACTTATCCGTCTCCGCGTCAGGATCTTCGGCGTCATTCATCCAGTACAATAGCGCGAGGTCGGTGCTATCGGCCAAAGTGCGACCGGCAACCATGCCAGAGCGACGCATCATGGATTGTCCAGGATCCGATGGGTCATTGGCATTGTGAATCTGGCTCATAGTGCTTCTCTCAGACCTCGGGACCTTCTGTATCATCATCGTTGAGTCTTGGCGAGTGACCGCGAAACCCAATCGCTCCAAAAGTCGACATAGTCTGTCGTTTTGGGAGTAGAGACGCTGTGTCAGATCCTTAGTCTTCTCGGATCTAGACTCGAAGTGACCAAGGACAGCCGTGAGCTTGGCTTGAGACTTGTCCATCTTTTCCTTGTAGAGCCGAAGCTCCTCTTCCAAACTACCGACTTGGGATTGCCGGGACGCGAGTTCCTCGGTGATGGAGCTGATCCGCTCTTCTTTTTCGTCCAGCTTCTTTCGGAGGCTTTCTGAACCCGTTTCGCCATCGGCAATCTTGGCGCGGAGTTGGTCTAGCTGCTCTCGGTTCTCAGCAGCCTCTTGCTCGAGGGCAGCCACCTTGGCCTTCTCCTCGTTCAAGTTCTCTCTCAGATGCCTGGAGCAGTCCTCCTCGGAGGCCAGTTTTTCCTTTGTTCCGAAGATATCAGCCTTCAAGGCCTTGATCTGCTCCTCTGCTTGCTCAAGGCCTGTCCTGATTATCGACCTATCGCTCTCCAGAGTCCTCATCTTGGCTGCGACATCTGTTGCTCGGTAGACAAGCGCATCAATGAGATCATTAAGATCCTCGGTTGTGTCGTCGTTTGCAGCCAGTTGCGCGTGAACATCACGAAGTGCCTTCAGCTGTACCTCGACGGTCTCCTGAGTGGAATTCAAAGTCTTGGCTAACCTCTTTGCCTCGTCGTTCACCGTCTGGAGTTGTTTCTCGAGCGATTCGTTTTGCTCCCTCTGGAGTCGGGCCTCGTTGCGCAGGAATTCAACTTGGCCTTGGGTCTTGAGCGCCTCGTCCTTTTGTTCCTTTTGCAACCTTTCGATCTCGGCCTCCAGGTCATGCATCCGCTCAATGTAAGTGGCCTTCTCGTTCTCTCTGGATTCGCCAAAGTTTTCAATTTCATCTTCGGTGTCTTCGATGCGGGCCTTGAGTCCCTTAATCTCATTCTCGAGTGACTTTCGCTCTTCGACAAATTCCCGTTGCAAGGCCTCCATATTCTCGAGGAGTTCCTTTTTGGTGGAGTTCGCCTCCTCCATCCGGCCCTTGACGTCGTCGTGGGCGGTAGCCCGGACGCTAAGATCTCTTTCGAACGCTGCGCACTTTTCTTTCTCTGTATTGAGTTCACTTTCAAGCTGTTGAATTCTCTGCGAGTGAGCCTCCGAATTACCGGGTGCCGGGCGGCCATTGAGTTCATTTTCAAGCTGCCGTATTCTCTGGGTCAAGACTTCTGAGTTGTCTGATGATCGACGACTGTTCAGTTCATTTTCCAATTGTTGGATCCTCTGCAATAGTGCCTCCGAGTTCCCAGTCGAACGACGATTATCCTCCAAAGGCGCATTTGACTTGATCGAGTTCGTTGAATCGTTCCTTTCGTGACCAAATAGACCTCCGATGCCTGGTCGAGACGCCGCACTTTGCCTGTGGAGCAAGTCTTCTAACCTTCGCACCCGGCTCTCCGCCGTCCTTAGCTTGTTTTCGAGTTTTGACTTGTCATCCTGAAGGCTGCGAAGCAGGTCGTCATCGCCGCGGATCATCAAACCGCTTCGTCCAAGGGCGGCCTCATGAACACTCCCATTCTTGAAGGCTTTCAACCTCTTCGCCTGCTGCTTCGTGGGGCTGCCCAGCTCGTTGACCAGCTTTGCCACGTCGTCAATGATGTTGACCTCGGCCTGTTGTCGTTGGAGGTGCTCCAAGAATTCTTCCAAATCTCGCTTAGCCATGTTTGGCCACGTCTCTTCCTCGCCAAGCAAGTTGACCTCGAGACCTAAGATGTTGGCTTCAGCCTTGTCGGGGCCGTACATGCTACCGACCATCTTGTGCCATTTTCTCCGCCTCTTCGACTCCTCGTCTTGAAATAGCGCCATCTCGTTAGCGAGCGTTGACGAATCCGTCTTGATCTTATCAGACCATTCACGGCGTCGCACTGCTTCGGAGACGAAGGAGGCGTACATGTACGGGAGCTGGTGAATAAGACGCAAATAGTCAAATGTCGTCATGTCGTCTTCAGCTTGATTCAGGAGACTAATCTGATTCTTAACGCTGCTGTGTAACGTGGTAATCTCAGTGATGTTCCGCATAAAGTCGATGCAATCGGAGGCAATGGCGTTTCGCGCCTGCGTGACATAGTGCAGCATATCGTCCATCTCCGCGGCGCGCTTCTTCAAGCTGGGGATTAGTCGTGATGTGTGGTTCTCCGCCGTCCGCGATGCCTGTAAGACGTTAGGCTGCGTGTCGGGATACTCCAGCACGATGTGGTAGTCTGTTTCGATCTTTTTGGCCACGGCCTCGAGGTCCTGGAGTAGTTGCGCCGCCTCGCCGCTATGGGATAACGCAGATCGACCGACTAGGTTGTCAAAGTCCCCAATCAGCTGCTCCAGTGCCCCATACATCTTGTCCGCAGCTTTGTCCAAATCTGCGGCCTTGGTACTGAACTTTTTCAAAGACGTTGGCGCCAATCGTCCCGACTTCTTTGCCGTATCATGCTCGATCAGGTCTTCCAAAGTCGCCTGCTTCTTCTTGAGGTCCCGAGATGTCATGAAGCGCACCATGGCGGCAGAGATGGGCACGCTGCGCGCGATAGTGAGGTAGTGCTCCCAGTTTTCAGCGAGCTGCTCGTACTCCTCCAGCGCGGGCTGCAACCACTTCTTTAGCTCGGCGTACTTGGGCTCAATCTGCTTTATACTAATCTCCAGATTGGCCACTGCCGCGTCCAGGCACTTGATAATGACGTCCATCTCGCCGTATCGTTGCTGGATCTCGGTTGCCATGTGTGTAGAGTCCTGGACGATGCCGAGGGCCCAGACCTGGCGCTCCTTGTACAAAGCTTGCCATTCGGACAATACGCGAATGTTGCCGATGTAGTTGGGGGCGTTCGGGACGGAGTATCGCTTGGGAAGCGGCAGTTCGGACTTGGGAGAAGAGGCGACACCAGAGGAGTTGGGTTGCGATAAACGGATGTCATAGATGTAGATCTCCGTCTGCGCAACGGTCAGCAAGGTCCTTGATCTAATGGAGGAAGGAAGCGGGCCATACTTCCTGGTGAAGAGTCTGCAGCTTGACACTTCGTCCTTGGGCAGTCAAAGCAACAGTTTGATGCGCCGGAATCGACGTCTGCCTTGCGATCCAGGCCTTGAAATCATCGAGCCTACGACGACCAGTCAGTTTTCCCACTCTCCCGTCTCGGAATCGCAAGCAGCGATCACATACGCTGAGAACTGCGTCGTGTCCACTTGCAGGCGCTGGCCCGTATGGGCTATCAACACCTGCGTCGCCATCACCGGAACATCTCCAAGCGGAAGCTGCGATAGCTAGCCCGCCGTTTGGCCTTTGCGGTAAGATTACTGGGGTATGTATCTTGAGGCTATGCGATGATGTCGGCGACGACGTGCCAGCTTGATGCGAGGTTTGAGCGTGTCGTTTCCGCTTGCTCGGTTTGTTCGTCGATGCTGTGAGCTTCACCAGGCACCGGACGAAAAGGCGCATGTATGAATGGCTGTTGCAAGGCGCGAGCGAAGGTTCGTTCGCCGGGCTTCCACATATGACCGCTGAGGCACCCTTCGGAGCTCGTGCAGACTACAAACCCGCTAAAAAGCTCGAGGAGGTATAGCGTGATGTAGCCTCGTGATTCTTGCTGTCATATGATTGGGTCGTTTGCCGATCACTAGCCACAGATAAGATAGCGTCATCGAAAGAGGCTGACAAAGTCTCCCTAGCCACAACCCAAGCTCACTCGCCGGCTCCACGTCCGGAACCGAAACCAGCACACGCCGGATTCCAATTATTGAGTCCGCGTACCGCGCTCTGAAGGGCGGGGCGTTGAGAATCGGGCACCGGTCTCGATCAAGCTGGTTCTCGCCATCTGATAACAACCACGAGCCCGACCATGGATGAGCCACAAGACCAGAGGACGGCAGAGCAAGCCGTTGACGCGCCTGCTCTACTACTATCGAATGACGAACGTCGCGTTCTGGCGCTCTACGATGAACTTCGCGACCTCGAAGTCACGGTTGCCCTCATTGAAGCACAGCAGAGATACACCCCAGGTTCCCCATCCACGCACGAAATCACTTCATTCATCATTTTCTTACGACTCTACAGATTCACTCTTACAAAATACCGAGGAGGATGTGCGACAGGCACAGCAGGATGCGGCCAAGGCGCGTGCCGGATGGCTGCTGAGGAACGACATCACGGATAGCGTCATGACCGCCAATCCAATTCTCAAAGCGGTCCATAGCAGCACGCAATCCACACCCATAGAAACGTTGGTTGCATCTTCGCATCTCACTCCTGTATATGCAGGTACACTTAGGACGAGAACTGATAGCACCCAGCGATCTCCTCCCTCACATTCATGCTCGCGACGCCACTTCGGTCACGCTCTCGGAAACCTCTTCTGACATTCGTGCTGCCATCAACGAGCTTACGGACGTCGAGGCCGAGAGCTTGCGGGTAGGTCGGCGGAACGTCGAGCTCACGGCCGAAATTCTCCGGTTGACTGAGGAGGCGGAGGCCAGGCGAATGGGCGAAATCGGCGACGTCGGCGTGCAGGAGGATATGTATAGACTGCAGGCCGAGGTTAAAGCCAGTAGGCAGCGTTGGAAGGTCATGAAAGGTACAGCCAGCGCCATAGTGGTCGGCAGTGGCATCGATTGGACAAGGGATGAAACACTGACGGATATCGTACTGGACCCCGAGGATGAGTCCTGACAACACCATGAGTCGAAAGGGTATTGGAGAAGGCCTGAGATCGATATAATATACGAGGGGCATGGCCATGCCCTTACGTCACGAGAGCGGTGAGTGCGGGTTGGAAGCGGGCATGGGTTTGCCTGTGATATGTTTTGTGACGAACAACTTCACCTTGCATCATATCGAAAATCTAGGTCGTCCATAACGGCAAATGACGTTTGGAACAACGCAGCTTGGAGGATTCACCAGGGAGTGGACTATGGTTGAGCAAATAATACCTCGGCAGAGAGGAACACTCACCTCAAACCCACGATGCACGGTACGTACGCAGGTACGGCCCCCCTCGCAGGCAAATGACGACCGGGTTGTGGGCAGGCTTGCCGGGCCAGATGGAATCCCCAGATCGCGGTGCCTGCCCTGCCCTGCAGTAAATCGATTACCGGTAGAGATATCCTTTGGCACTGCACACAGGCACCGTACCGGCTGGCACTTGAAGGGTCGCGTTTGGTCACCAAGCTCGCGGTGCTTTCGGCCCCTGCCGATCTCCACAGGATCCTCACCACTTAGAAGCTCTGATGAAGCCAAACAGGGCTTAGTGCATCCAGGCGCTATGACCACCGCGATGATGCCGAGGAGCGATCACGTGTGAGCTTGGCTCCGAGATCTGCTTCTGTGGCCAATGCTTCAGCTCTGTAGAGTCAGCCTACCAGCATTAGACGCTCTCTGTAGAAACTCTGAAGTGGCCAAAGGGTAATATATCTTTGATGAAACGCTTTTCAATAACCAGTCAAGAAGGGCAATAAGAAGGAAGGTGCATTCGAAGCGAGAAAGTATCCCAATGTTTATCCATAGTTTGTAATACTGAGAGCCGTCCTGCGCGTTCACGTGAACGGGTGATACGCGCAAGTCTGAGCCATTCGCGCCACGTCGCGAGGAACGCGCTCTTGGGATTAGATAATCAATAGGTCCGAGTGTGTGAAGAAGAGGAGAAAAGGAGGGAAACTGGGATTGAAAGTTGGGGGGAGTGCAAAGCTCCCCGACAGTCGAGCTCTGTGCCTGCTGCTCCGGATCAGCCAGGAGACCCGGGAGGGAGTGGAGCTGGCTGGCGCTGAGCTACACTCTCCATGTACATTCGTGTGCATGTCGTCTGGTGTGAGCAACTTGGATGTTTGGCTTGGGAGGGGGTGTGTGTGAGTGAGAGTGTGAAGTCTGAGGTCAGGGAGGGCCAAAATTGCCGGGGGAGCATCAGGTACAGCACAGTATCAGCATTGGCAAAGGCAACTCGACCAGCCAGATTGCCAGGCTCCGTGTATCCGCTGCAAGTCGTGGGTACTTTGCGCACTTTGTTCGCCCGTCCGTTACTACTGCCTTCCCAGCGCCAGCCCGGCCAGACAGGGAACAAGCAGGCAAAAGCAAAATAGCTGGGCCCGGCAGCCTATCTGGAATGGTGAGGAAACGCCCTCCTACTGGCACAGACCGGCAGACACCGTCTGGCCCCATGGCCACAAGTTGCGCCGGCTCATAAATTTGCAAGAGGAGGCCTGCATTGGGCGTCTTGGGTGGATGCGCATTGGGTGCATTGGTGCGGGGGGCCACCTCCAATTGTCTTGCAGGCATCACCTCGTCTGGTGCCTCGAGGTACAGGACATACCCGCATATTTTGTGCGCATGACAAAGTATTCCCACTCTTCCTCGATGCCGAGTGTTGCACTGTCTTGATATCGTGCTGCGTAGAAACGACTCAAGTGCGCCTGCCATTGACAACCGATTGCTGGATCAGTTATCCAGCCCGAAAAGAAAGAAAAAAACTCTACTCGGGAACGGCTTTGAAAGGCGGGCGCAGGTCATGATCGTCTTGTGGCATCTTCAGCATCCACCAGTTGATGTTTGACTGTCAGTGCTTTCGCTCGTACGCAGTCACTGAGAGGCTTAGACAATTTGTGTCATCTTTTGTTAGTGATTCGAAGACGTCCCGCACGTACCACTCTTCTCCGGTGAGGGGCAAGAGTGACAAGGAGACAAGTCGACCTGAAAAGGGAGGTTGGGGAGTCTAGAGTGTACCGAGAGCTGCGAGTGGGAGTGATTGGGCGCACTCATTCCGGATTCGGTGGACCAGATTAGCGGTACATTGGGCAAAGTAGCGATACATGACAATCTCGTATGACGGTACATGGGGCGTATGCATGAATCAAGTACCCAGGATCCGTTTCGGCCAGCGACCAGTTCAAATGCCATCCCCATCAGTCATCGTGACAGCCGGCCATCGTTCCATTGTCACATCTCCCTGAGCAACGGAGGCTTATCCGCCTGGTGGTAGCTTGCTGCCTCGCGAGTCGTCCTTGTCAAACCGCCGACGGGCCTTGGGTGCCACCAGATGGCGAATGTCTTTGTTTCCCTGCAGATTCGGGGGCCCGTGTATCATACCGAGCGGCGAGAACCTGACGAACTGGACCCTCGACAGCTGGAGTCCACATGGGGTTGCACCATGCTGCTGCTGCTGCTGCTGCTGCTGCTGCTGCTCCCGTAAGCTTTCAAGGAGTTGCCCAAGGCTTGTCGGAGCTGATGGGTGGGCTTCGCGCCGGAACTCAGCTAATGGTGTCGCAATCTAGGCCGCATTGGAGCGCCAACATGGGTTTAGCCGTGTGTATCCCGCCTGATCGCGTGGACTGGCAATCCAGGGCGAGCCACTGAGCCAGGCATAGTGCGTTTGTCGGGAACGAACTTTGTGCCGATGGTGCAGTGGGTTTGGTGTGCTTGGGAGCTTGGGAGTAATAATGATGGGACAAGCCATTTTTGGAAAGGGGAATGCCGCAAAGTGTGTCGAATAGCGTTTTGGTGTGGGGGAAACCGCAGCGATGCCTAGGGTGACACTTGCACAATGTACTGGATTGTACACCAAATGAATTGATGTACGAATAGTGCGGTGCATCTTAGCCCGCAAGTGCCCTCAGTGATCCATCTCTCATATCCAAGCCGCCGGGCCCTTGTTGTTTTGTGACCACATGCAAAAATCGAGAAGGTTGTAAGCACAAAGCGTTTACTACTAGAGAGTAGCATCTTCAACATGACGTCGCCAACGCCCACAACCCCAGCAAAATGCAAATGATGAGCGTCCTAGTGTGTACCGTGTACAGGCTGGTCATTGGTGTCTACCATGGAGAAAGTTTGCTCCGGGTGTAGGAAGTGGTGAAGTTCCAGGAATCCAGTTCGAGAGTTGCAGATATCGCGCAGGTGTTGCACACTAGCACAGGACCATAGCTCTGATCACCCATCGTATTTGCCACAGGGAAGCGAGCCACGTTGGGCAATTGGTTGTCGAATGGACAGTACTTACCCAGATGGGAGAGGCTGAGGCGAAGCTGACGGCCAGCTTCAGTTCCATTGTCCCCGTGCGTCACGGGCTTTCTTGAGGACAAGAGGGGAGGGAGTCAAGTACACTACCTGAGGTTGGGGTATATCGACTGGTAGGTTGAGACCTTACCAGTCAGGCTATACAAGGTAGGGTAGCCCTTAGCGCCGGTGAACATGGTGAAGGAATTGCCTGGTTCGGACCAAATCCAGTCGGTCGCAGCAGGCTTGTCGCTGCTCTCTGTAACCTGGATGTATCCGCATCCCATCTTCATGCTACCAATGCTTGAGGGAGGGCATTGCAGCAAAGACCGTCACTGGAGGAGGGTGTGACTAGGGCAGGGTAACGGAGATATTGGTGCAAAACATAGACAACTACTCTTGATGAAGCCACAAGTGGTGTTGCTATTGGATGAAGTGATACGGTTTGCGTGGAAACCGCTCTCAGTCTACCTATGTAAGTGCCGGTCGACGTCAAAGGTGGAAATGGCGAGAAGACCAAACGACTTGCAGGTTCGGGAATGGCACGACTTGGGGAGATGGGAGAAGGGTGGTCCGTGTGACCGGTGGTGGGGTGACGGAAGACGCAAGATGCTTCAGGAGCAAACCACACCACCTCTTCTCGGGCGGGCGAAAAAGACTGGCACGAAGAAAGGTAGGTAGGTACCGGTAGCAAACGAGGTGGAAGAGAAACGCGCCACAAAGTATACAGTGCGAGTACCGGATGTAAAACGAGAGTACAAGGAGTATGTACAGTACTTCGGTGCGGAGTTTCGCACGCGCTTGTACCTGTACAGTACCGCACAATAATAGCAGCGGCAAACGAGATAGACGGAAGCGAGGTAGCAAGGACGGACCGTAGCAGGAGCAAGTAGGAAGGAAGACAGACAAGACAACGGCATAGGAAAGGAGGCAGGAGGGTGGCGAGAAGCAGTATACGAACAGACAAGGAAGGAAGGCCCCTTCTCTTTCTTCTTGCTGCTCCATATCTGCTGTTAGGTGTCGCCCCTGCTTCCTCTGCCTTGCCCACTTCGCCGTTGCTGCTGCTGCTGTTGCTCCTGCGCTCGCATTTCACGTCGTGTGAGCGCGCCTGGCCCGAACTGGTTTGGTCTCGCTGTGCTTCTGGCGCAGGAAGAGGAGTAGGAGTTGAAAGTACGAAAGGTGTGTTGGATTGGTTGCGTGCGGGCAGGCACACGCTGCAGATTACACCAGACAAGTATCGTTCCGTATTGCCAAGGTACTGAGGTACTTGCGTAAAGTATTTTGTCGCTGCCCGGTTGGTGGTGCAGTTGTCTGTCCCCTTGGGGAGACGAACAGACGGCAAAAAGGGGGGTAAGGCGAGGGAAAGAGGAAGGCAAGGTACTTTCCCTGATAGTGTCCGTAGCAAGGTACCTTTACTTTACCTTTACCTTGACCTTGAGGGTGGGCGCGGGCGTACGTACATAGACTTGAACTGGGTGATGGGAGGATTAGGAAGGGGAAACGAGAAGGGACGCTGGAGCACAGGGAAAGGGGGGGGGGGGGGGGGGGGGGCACCACACTCCTCGACAGTCAGGGAGGGAAGGCGCGCCCACCCTTCTCCCTTCCTGTTATGCCTTCCCCTCTCTTGCCTCTCCTCTTTTTTTTTTTCTTGCCCGCGTGCGTGTGCCCAGTGTTGCCGGTGTTAGTACCAACGCCAGTGCGCAGACCTTCCCCCCTTCCCTTGTACGGATACCTACCCAGACACCCATAGCCATTCAACAGCCAGCTGGAGTACCAGCGGGTAGCAGCCAGCCAGCCAGCCAAGCCGCCCACCCTCCAGGCGGGACAGTGTCTACACCCAGACTCCCAGACAAGAAGTGACAAGGCCAGGCAAAGAGGGGAGCTGATCCAAGGCAAAAGAGGAGGAAGGACCAAGGTGACCCCCTCCCACTTTAGACGCCCCCCCAGTTTCCTTGACAGTCTTTGCCAGTCCCAGACTTCCCAGCAAAAACAAGTGCACCCAGGCGCGTTGCTCCCGCACAATCACTCCCCCATAGTAAAAAGGCTGCTTGGCCCTCCCCCATACAATCTCCCTCCCTCTTCTTTTCCCATACAAATCTCCCACCCAAATCCTCCTCTCATACAATCCGCACTCTCGCAATACCACACATTGTAGCCTACGCGCACTCAACCTGTGAGTACCGTCCGCCCATATCGCCCAACCCCATCAGCACCGCAACCACATGCGCATCACTCTATTTTTCCGTTTTCAACGCCGCCGCCATTTTGGACTCGTCGCCTCGATTGGCATCACCTAGAAACCTCTTTTTTTTCCAAAGTTGGTATCGTGGTTGTAGTCGGACGAGGAGCTTTCAACATGGCGTGCACCCCTCCAGCTCATCCTATTGAGCACCTTTCATCTAGACCCAACATCGTCCAAAGAGCTTCCCAGCTAACAAGAGCTTGACGCGTCCAGAACACCTCAACCACAACACCCTCTCTACCTTCCAAAAACCACCTTCAGGTATGCTTTTCGACCCCTCTTGGACGACTTCGAGCTTCAAATCGCAATTACTTCGCGTTGCGGAGCACAATTGCATTTGCGCCTCAGCCCCCTACACATCGGGTCCCGCTTCGTAGCGGCCCGTTTTCATCATCGCATATCCCTCGCGCCACGACGCTGCGACTCTGTTCAGCCGTCCAGACGCAAAGCAACACATAGCCCAATGCCTATGCTTGTCAATCTCGCTTCATCTTCATCATGGAGCAGACTAATTAACCCTTTTGCTATACAGGTACTCAAAATGCCCAAGGCTTCTACTAAGCGAGGCGCGGCCGGCAAGGTCGACAAGAAGCGCGCGAAGAAGGGTAAGTTTTCCATCAGATGCGAAAGACACTCGCCCAGTCGCGTCATGTAGTGGTTGCCCAGATGTCATGCAGTCTGTGGATAGGTTTGCCAAGCTAGTCCACTGCTACTGTCGAGACACTGGCTCCCATGCTGATGCACTCGCCCTGTGTCGTGCGCTCACATGCATCACTGTCATTTACAGATGGCTAATAACGCCTGTCTAGACCCCAACGCCCCCAAGCGTGGTCTGTCCGCGTACATGTTCTTCGCCAATGAGCAGCGCGAGAACGTTCGTGAGGAGAACCCCGGCATCTCATTCGGCCAGGTCGGCAAGATCCTCGGTGAGCGCTGGAAGGCCCTCAACGACAAGCAGCGTGCCCCCTACGAGGCCAAGGCTGCCACCGACAAGAAGCGCTACGAGGACGAGAAGCAGGCCTACAACGTAAGACATCCCCTCCCCTCTCGGCTTCATGGTTGTGTAGTGCTGAAGCTAATTAGTCAATCTGAAGGCCGAACAAGAGGAGGATGAGTCTTCTTGATTGCTGTATTTCTGTTGCTTCTCGGTCCGAATGCGTGGCGTTGAGTTACTTTCCCGCACATCTTTCGGACTTTCCTTGTAACTTTGGGCTCGGCGGTGTATGATGGGATTGAAATGGGTTGCTTTTCTCGTTATTCAGGATCGGCAGGATGGGCGATACGAGGCAGGTGACGCTTCTAAGCCGCCCCGCATCCGTAGGAGAGCTGGTCATGCCGCCATTCGCGGAACGGAACTGTCCACGATTGGGACTAAATGACATTTGACGGCTCACGTTGACAAACTTGTATGACTTTTTCCTGTTATGTTCTATCCAGCCTTTGTGTGTGTGTGTGTGTGTGTGTGTGTGTGTGCGTGAACTCGTGGAGCAGGGCGACGGCGATGCGACAATGCCAGTGTTGAATGTTATTAATTGCCATGTATATGGCATGCCCTTGTCATTAGGGGTCTTCGCCTGGGATCAGGGTCCAGGGTCAGAGGTTTCTTGGTTTCATCGACCATGTAATTAAGGGTCTGGGTAAGGATAGCACCGCCGTTGACGCTACAGATTTGCTCGAGTACGTGACGCTGATAGATGGATGAGCCAGTCTGTATGACCCGGATTTGGGGGAGCTTGTGTGTTGACTACCTAGCTGGACCCCCGGCCCCGCCGCTCCGCGGCTGGATCTGCAATTTGAGCCAAGGTAAACCTGATCAGTCACCGGCTCCCTCGCCGGGGAAGAGGGTGGGGACGATTGTGGCTGGTCCCCATTCGGGGCCGCCAGGCCCGATTAGTAGTGAGAGCAGGCACTTGCTGCGGCGTGGTTGGTGGCTCAGGATTCAAACCACATTCGTGCTCTCCTTAGTGGCATGGTAGGTTTGTTTGCGAGGCAGGAATAACATGGCGTGCAGACGATGCAAGACGGGTGATGGATGTATGTGGATGGATGGGTGCCTGTCGAGTTGAGACAGGTTGCCGGCACTCTCCTTCCTCCGCGGTCCCGCCCCGGTTTGATGGCTTGAAACTTTGGCCGTCAAGTTCATATACGCCCGCCGCCGCAGTCTTCTCTCATCGACTTCCATCTATCAACTTTCCCGGATCTGCAGATGAGCAGTCAACCGACCACCATCACCATCACCGTCATTCCGTATCTAAAACTCGAACATGCTCGAGGGTGCCACCCTCAACGGCATCCTCCCCAAACCAACGCGCAACACATTCTCTACGGCCACCGGCCACACTTATAGCCACCTCCGAGGATTGCCGGGGCGGCCGGCCAGTCGGGCGGGAATCAATGTGGATGTCCGGTCGCGTTCGGGCCTGGAGGGCGGGGTCCTTTCCGTACATGTATCAGACGGACGGACGAATGAACGAATGGTCTGCTGAATCCCTGTCCAGGAAGTCCATAATTCGGATGACCGGCCTACCTCGCACTAAGATAACCTCATCTCACCCCGCTGGACTGACTCTCCGCGCCTTGCACCATCGGCCGACAAAGCACGACAGGCTACGGATAGAGGCGGCTGGCATATCCCACGCGCTGCGGAGAGGCGGCTCGGTAGAAGCGATTCATTCGAGACGATACATTTTATCAGCATCATTCCCGCAGGCGTCACGGGCGGATGTGACATGGGAATATCGCGTCTCATCTCATCATATATCATATCACCATGCGCTTGTCATTGTCCCACCAAGGCCTGCCCCTCAATCGGCTTCGACACATCCTCCACAGGCTGTCGGTGCGCTGGACGTTCTCCGAATCGAGAATTGCTACTGTCTCTCTAGATAACTTTCTCTGCTGCCTCCTTACTCTATCGTCACGAGCACGGCCAGTCAGTGGTCTCATTCTGTAACATGACACAACTGGTGTCATGGGTTCCCCGAAAGTCTCTGCTAACAACAGGTGTTTATATAATCTTTTTCTTTTTATCTTTTTCGTTTTTTTTTTTTTCCTTTGGTTTTCTTCTTCTTTTTGCCTATCTGCATCGTTCATGCATGTGCTAACTAGCCAGACGCTACCCCCGCCGGCTCCGGGCCGGCCTCATTCGTCCGCCATTCCAAGTTGGACGTCCCTAATGCATGCAGAGGGGAGGGGGAACCGTACAGGCCCATGGGGTCATCCCCAGCAGTCGTGGCAAGCTCTGGCTAGTCGGTTGGCAGATCGATATGTGTTGAGCCCACACATCTTGTCGTGCCAGTAGTCTGGCCAGGCATGCACTGCTCTCCTTTCTTCCGTACTTCCCTGGGCTCCCGCGCAGGTGCTTGTTGGCGTTCTATGAATCCGCACAGTTCGTGCTATTTCCGTCTGGCCTCGGCGACACTTGCGCCGCTCACTCGGATTGATATGATGCAGTGACGTTTTCCCTTTTTGGTGTCCGATGGGGGTGCTCGGCTTCCCTCGAAACCGAATTCAAAGCAAAGTTTGGCTACTTCCAGAACCACGCTCTCAGCCGCTGTCGGTCCCCAAAAAGCAAGGGGGTTAAATTACCCAACAACGCACGACGAAGCGTGGCCACTCTTTACATCAGATAAAACGTCAGTAACCAATGTACTGAGACCATAGGACGCTGTACACGTCATATGTAAACAACCGGCATCTCGGTTCGTACAGCCAACGCAGGAAACGGCACCCAAAGGTTTGACGGGGTGGTGGCGTCTGTTCCCTGACCGGCCGTCAGAATCGAAACCTGCAGCTCCGAATCATAGTTGCAGCGACTTCCCACCCATTAAGCAGTCGCGACTGCATAGAAGACCATGTTGAGCACAAGAGGCGGGCCTTTCCTCGTTTTACCTCTTTTCTTCCCTCTGGCCTGCATTTCTCCTGCCACTAATTCCAATCGGTATATCGGCATAACCCTTGTGAGCCGCCCACGGCGTTCTTCAGCTACTATTCGAGGACAGTGTTTCGACCGGACGAGGGCATCGGAAACATACGAGAAACCCACGGCAAGACCCCGCGCGGAACGGCAGGCGGGAGGTACAGCCACTACTCCGTCCTACTAGCTTGCTTCGTTCATTAGACGATGGAGCCGTGAAGGGAGAGCGCCGCCATTCAGGCCCAGTCCGTCAACCCACGCATCGACAAAATGGAACAGAGTCTTCAAAAGATCGACTACCGCCTGCTTCAAGGCTGTTGCCTCGAGGCCGAACGCGCTGACATTGTGTCGGTGAGCCTGGAAGGGCTCCGGATGGCCCTACCCGAGTCATATGGCGGCCCCATAAATGCTTTGGTCGCGGGCATGCGGAAGTGTGCACAGCTACTCAGGAACTTGGCCGACCTATCGCAAATGCATTTCAACCGGGTCTCCATCCTTCTAAACTACCTTCAGATCATACTCCCGTGTCTGAGCCGGACACTTCGCGATATTATCGAATACTATGAGGACCGTACCGTGAGCAAGGACATCCGGTGGCGAAGGATGTACCACAAGATGACCCAGGAGGTCGGAGGTCTCCCACTTCCACAGCGTTTTATGCTTTACAATCACTTCTTGGACTGTCTGAAACAGCTCCTGATCAGGTAAGTTGTATATTACTCCCGTCAACAAAGGGAAGATAAGGTACTAGCAAGCTTCCAGGTCGCCCACCTTCGATCTCAATGGTTTGGAGTTGTTACGAACAAGGATAATCGAGATGCGAGAAGCAAGAGGACTGCGTAAAGAGAGCCCTCTGGATCCCCTAGCAAATTCTAGACTAACATGCCCCCCCAGCCACACCCGCCCACGTCGGGCCTGTCGTCCGACCAGAGACTTTGCTAATGCCGATAACCCAAGATCCAGTACGCACTTTTCGCTGAGATGAAGAAGAGGCTGTGCTGACATGGACTCTCCTTAGACGGTACACTGGGCCGAGCAGATATTTTCTCTGCCGCTGCCGTCCCGAACGGCCCTGAAGCACGCCAAAACGTCGAAAGCCTGCGGTCCTTTCCTGGCATGGGGCCAACTCAATATTCCAAAGGAAACCAAGATGCTCTTCAGAAGGTACGGTGACGGCACTCCCCGCGCTGTACGGGCGCCTGCTAATGCTCTTTATCAGGCCCTTTGACGAAGACCGCCTTGCGCTGATGGCGTATCTCAACCTCGTCAACCATACGCCCTATATTCTGCTCAGGACCTACCACCTAGGGGCCCCGTGGTTCTCCCTTCGTGGCACCCACGAGCTCGTCCTCCAGCGCGAAGAGAACTGCCTACAGCTCAAACGTTGGAGTCTCTCCGAAGGGGCGCCAAAGCTCTGGGCCTCTCTCTACTTCAAGACATGGGAGGGTATGCTATACCCTTAGAATTGCCGTCTGTCAGAGTTTGATATCGCTGACACACCCACCCACCACCTCAGAACTGACCCTATTCCACTGCACCTTCGTCTCCCTGAAGGCCCGAAACACGATGACCACCAACATGAACCTCGGAGAGTTCAAGCTCGCCGGAGAGAAGAAGACCTTTCAAGCGTAGGCGCCTCCTCGATGATGTATAGCCCTGCCGGCAGCTGTCGTTCGCTAACTCGCGGGATGATTAGGCAAATCATCGACGACGGCTTCAAGCACTCCCTCATGGTCTACCAAGATATTGCGACCCGGGGCTTCCGCCTCCACGCCGCGGTCTGGGACGGCGAGCTCCGTCTATGTCCCGTCTGGACCGCCTTTGGTATGTCTTCTGCTTATTAACACCACTCCCTCCCCAAAGGGAGAAGCTTGTTCGCTGCTCGCTACGCCCTTCCCATCGCTACCTCAAACTCACAAGGACGCGCCTCGCAGTTACACACCAGTCCGCCTCACCGACCTGGCTCCGACGCAAGAGCCCTCACCGCGTCTGGCTCAAGGACGTCCAGTTATACGTCTTCTGCAAGGGCTACCGCCAGCAGAACCAGCGCAAGGGCGAGGCCGGCGCCTTCGAGATTAACTTTGTTTCCGAGAGTGGCGCCGCACACTTCCTCGAGGCGTTCTCCTCCACCGTTTCGGAACCATCCACCGATTCTCGCGAGGCCATCGAGGATGCCAAGTAGCTCGCCAACCCAATCCCTCCCCCCATCTAAAACCCTCGGGAAGAATCCAAGCCAGCCAGCAACAGGCAACTTCTTCGCAATTCCAGGCCCACCCTATTGTCGTTTACAGCATCGTGACAGCAGCCTGCCCCGACAAGATGGTCGCGGAGACGTTGGTTTTCGAAGAAAGGGGTCCGAAAGAGTGCGTGCACTGGATTTGCCAGAGGACAGAAAACGCCGGCAGGTTTGGACTTGATTTGTATGTCTGTTTTTCCCTTTGTTTTAAAAGTCTTTTGCCAGCCCGAGTCTATTTTTTTTCTCTCGTCTTTTCCCGTTTCTTTGTTTCCCCACGTCTTATGAATCATGATATGATGACGTTATGAATAGTTGGAAAAAGTATTATTAGCACAGAATGGACAATGAGTGATGACAGCATTCAACGAGCAGCTCAACTGCAGCGGATGACACTATTTAGCAAATGCTGGCTAAACAAGCAGCTGGAACGAAACATCTGCGCGAATTTTGTTGCGTTATTAGGTGAATTGATTCAATTTAATGCAATCGTGTACCATCGTAACATCATCCAAGGTCACTTGGATGTCTGGCTTCTCTATACCGAAGCGTACCATTTTTTTACCACTCCACCCCCCCCCCCCTCTTTTTATACATGAATACGCTTAAGTCTTGACGTCGGGCTCGTCGCGGCCGATGAACTCCTTGAATTTGAGCAGCTCAGTTGCCATCTGGATCTCGGGCTTGAGGAAGTCCTGGGCGTCCTGGTCGTACGTCTTGGGATCGCTGCTGTGCTGCTCGAGGTACAGACGGATGGTAGCACCGGAAGAACCGGTACCAGAAAGGCGGACGATTATACGGCTGCCAGAGGAGAAAGTAGCGTACAGTCCCTGGTTGGACGAGACGGAACCGTCAAGGTCGGTGTAGGAGAAGTTGCCAGCGCCGGTGACGGTGCGGTCTGTAGGGGTTAGTGTTTGGCCCAAACATTTCGCGTCGAGAGAAAGCTTACCTCCAACCTTGCTGCCGATGAAGTTGGGGTCGGCGACAAGGTCCTTGAGAACACCGACGACCTTGTTGGCGCCCTCGCTGTCGACATCCTCGTAGTCGTAGCGAGTGAAGAAGGTACGGCCGTACTCGTTCCAGAAGTCATGCTGAATCTTCTTGATGGAGGGGGTGACGTCGGGGTTCTGCACACCGATACCGGCGATGATGTTCAGCCAAGCAATGACGGCCCAAAGACCATCCTTCTCGCGGATGTGGTTGCTTCCAGTGCCGAAAGACTCCTCACCGCAAATGGATAGCTTGTTAGCGTCAAAGAGGGCACAGAAGAACTTCCAGCCGGTGGGGACCTCGTAGCAGTTCAGACCCTGCTTCTTGGCGACCAGGTCGACGGCACCAGAGGTGGGCATGGAGCGGGCCAGGCCGTAGACACCCTGCTTCTTGAAGTAGGGAATCAGATTGGCGTGGTGGGCGATGATGGCCAGGGAGTCGCCGGGAGAGACGAAAGCGTTGGCGCCGTAAATCATGTTGCGGTCACCGTCACCGTCAGAGGCGGCACCGAAGGGGATATTGTTCTTGTCAACAACTTCAACAAGGGAGTGGGCGTAGGTAAGGTTGGGATCGGGGTGGCCGCCGTTGAAGTCGGGGCTGGGCACGCAGTTCTGGGTGGCGCCCTTGAGGCCAAGCTCCTTCTCGAAGATGGCGGTTCCGTAGGGGCCGGTGACGCCGTGAAGACCGTCGAAGAGGACCTTGAAGTCGGGGTGGGACTGGAAGAACTTCTTGATCAGGTCAAAGTCAAAGATGTCCTTAAGCATGTCGACGTAGTCAGTGGTGCTGTCGATGACCTCAACCTCGAGGGAGCCGTAGGTCTTGGTGCCGATTGTGGCGATGTCGACATCGGGGATGTCGGCGATCTTGTAAGAGGTAAGGGCCTTGGAGGCCTCGTAGATCTTGTTGGTAACGGACTCGGGGGCAGGGCCACCGTTGGCAAGGTTGTACTTGATGCCGAAGTCGTTCTTGGGACCTGTCGGGAAGCATCGGTTAGCCCGCAAATTGGCGCATCAGTGTGCTTAGGAGGGTACACACCGCCGGGGTTATGGCTGGCAGTCAGAAGAATACCACCAGTGGCCTTGCGCTTGCGGATGACATGGCTGGCGGCAGGCGTGGACAGGATGCCATTCTGGCCGATGAGCAACTTCTTGACGCCGTACGCAGCACCAATCTTGGCGATCAATTGAACGACTTCGGGGTTCCAGAAGCGGCCATCACCACCGATGACGAGGAAAGAACCTAGAAAGACGGCCTGTCAGTTTCGGGGGGGGCCAATGACAGAATGCAAAGGGGGGTTTGGGGTCGTGTTTACCTTCAACACCCTCGGGGATGGACAGAAGAATGCTTGTGACGAAGGACTCGCTGTAGTGAGGTTGCTGGAAGACAGTAACCTTCTTGCGAAGACCAGAACTGCAGAGTTTGTTAGCAACTCCCGGTGGTTAAAATGGATGTGTGTTCTGGTATGAGACAAGGAGGGAGCTATGGCGGGGTCGCGAAAAGTCGGGAGAGATGGGGTTGTGACGACGTAGGAATAACGTCAGAGAGAGAGGAAGAGAGAGGGATTTTCGCAAAGGGCTTGACGTACGTTCCGGGCTTCTGGTCCTGGAAGGGCTTGAATTCAACAGTCTTGACGTCCATGATGCCGTGCAATTTGAGGTTGTGAGGTTCCAGAGGGAAGTGTCTCAAAGGATGTAAGAGAGAAAAGGAGGATGTTGGGAGCTGTTAACTAATATCAGTATCTGTCTCCCTCATCCCCTCATGCGAACCGGATTAGGAGCGGCAACAGACCTGGCGGGGGGCGGGGCTGACAAGGAAAGCTTGGTGCGGTGAGAGCAGACCCTAGAACACTGTGGCAGCTTTTGGTAGAAGGCGACGGCCCAACATGCCATTCACTCGAGCTGAGCTCGCCGTAGTGGGGGTGGCTTCACGGTGCTTGGACCAGTGATATCAGTTTGAGGCCAGGCATGGGCGGGGTCACCTCACAGCAAAGGAGGGGCAGCTTCAGGGAGCCCCTCATTCACCAAAGTGGGGGTTACGGTAGTGCATTTCCCGTCATTCGCACAGTAGTCGACGCGCAGTACTAACCGCGTTCCAGACAGCGTGTAGCCCTCAATGCACTGTACGTCTTGGGAGTGGTCAATAATACCTACAATGTACGATGATGCACTGACATCAATCCCGCAACACCTTGCTGGTGATGCACTCATGTCCACGCCGGCTACTTTGGATAGGATTGCCTACAGACTTTCTACCTCACCGTTCCCGGCTATAGCAGGTTGTCTGCCCACGCTTCATCCTCATCACGCTCGCTGATGGGCGTCTCTTGCAGGCTGGCATCTCCCCGTCTCCATGCTAAGCCGAAAATGGCCTCTCTGTAGTACTTTGCCTCCTCAATACTCTCAAGAATATCTTCCTTGGCCTGGTGAAGCCCCTGCTTTACGGGAGCGCCATCCACAATATGTGGTGGGCACCACCGTCTCGCCGCCTCCTTTAGCGAGCTGACATCGAGAATACGGTGATGCAGATAGTCGACCACCTTGCGGTACGGCGGCTTGTTGAGGAACGAACGGTCTGCGTGCACGCTGTTGCCCGCCAACAGCGCTGTCTTCGGCTCTGGTATGTGTTGCTTGATATATTCAAGCAACGTCTTCGCTGCCTGCTGCGGCGTCATCGTCGACTTGATGACCGCTTCTGTCAAACCGCTGTCCCGGTGCGTCCGGGTGCACCAGGCGTCCATCTGTGCCATGCGCTCTTCGGTCTGGTGCACCACGCAGCCCCAACCTTCAGGGTCAACGACCTCCAGGTTTCCGGTGGTGATAATGCAGAAAATCTCAATGATTTCTTCCTTATCAGGATCTAGTCCGGTCATCTGAGAGTATGTTAATACAGGCCAGTTCTTAGGGCAGCAACATGTCCAAGAAAAAAATATAGGACGCTTACCTCACAGTCAATCCACACAAGCGGACCATCCGACGCAGACTGCATCTTGGGCGCATGCGCCTTCGGCTTAAGAGGATTGAGAGGGCTGAGGAATTCCATGGTGAGCTGGACTGGATGCTTCAGTTTCTGATGATTTGATCACACCCTGGACGTTTTTGCGTTATCAGCTGCGGCAAGGAAGGCATTCGCAACATGCAGCCTCTGTCTCCGAGGTGGTACCTGACGTGAGGGTGGGGGGGTGGTTGCTGTCGGCAGCAAGAAAAGCTCGGCTGTGGCCTGCTAGCATTGACACATCAACAGGGGTCTGTGTTGTGCACGAGGCATCTAGTGATCCTAGCAGCAGCTTCCAACTTAATATTCGTCTTCTCACCGCCAAAAGCCTCATGGGGTGATGGGCAGCGAGCCAGTACGTACCTTGCATTCCTTATCAGGACCGATAAAACATCACTCATCTCATACTGACTCGTCTTCAAATAGCACCCTGTTCATTGGCCAAGACTCTCAAGACCCCGCTTGGCCGACTTACCTCGATGCCGTTATGATAAACCACCCAGGCTCCTGCCACCGGATACACAATCTGCACTCCTTCATGCTTTCGCCGAGTTGAAACGACCGTCAACAATCAGTTAACGGCCTGAGAAGCCAAAGCCAAAGGAGATTCAAGGCTCGAGTTCCTCCAAAAGCTCCTTCGTCATGTCGTCCCTCAAGAAGTCGGGCTCACCAGTTGCGATCCCTTATGATGAGCAGCCAGATCCAGTACCACCAGAGAAACCTGCCATGTCCGCTTCACCACCTCGCATACTCATTATCGGTGCTGGTTCTCGCGGTCAGGCCTACGCTCGTGCGACCGAGACCTCCTGCAACGGTATCGTTACGGCGGTAGCTGAACCCATCGCCTACAAGCGGCAGACCTTTGGCCGAACCTACATTTGGGGTTCGGACAATCCACAGGAAGGACAACAGTTTTCCGACTGGACCGAGTTTATTGCCTACGAAACACGCCGTCGCGAGCGAGAGGCCGCCGGTGAAGATGTGCCGCCTGGCGTCGATGCCGCTTTCATATGTGTTCTTGACGAAATGCACCGCGATGTCGTCGTCGGTCTTGCCCCCCTGGGCCTACATGTCATGTGCGAGAAGCCTCTGGCGACATCCCTCGCCGATTGTCTCGACATATTCGATGCTCTCAAGCCACCTGCCGGCCAAGAGCCTACGAACGTCTTCTCGATTGGTCATGTTCTTCGTTACAGCCCTCACAATATGCTTCTTCGCAAACTCCTTCTCGAGGGCCGTGTCATTGGTGATATTATCAAAATCGTGCATACTGAACCAGTGGGCTGGTGGCACTTCACACACTCTTATGTGCGCGGCAACTGGCGAAATGAGAAAACGACAGCACCGAGCCTTCTGACCAAGAGCTGTCATGACATTGATCTGCTTCTCTGGCTTCTCAGTGCTCCTGTCAAAGCCGGAAAGGGTATCCCCCATCTTCCATCCACCGTATCGTCTACTGGTTCCCTGCAACTATTCAGGAAAGGCCGAAAACCCGCCGCGGCAGGGAACGCAACGAACTGTTTGACTTGTCCGCTGGGTGAGGAAGGATGCAAGTACTCGGCTAAGAATGTTTACCTTGGTTCAGATCTTAACGGCCTCGGTTCTGGGAATACCGATTGGCCGGTCAGTATCGTGCTTCCGGAGATTGAGGATTTCCCTACGACACCTGAACGAAACAAAGCCCTGGCTGCCAAGCTTGCCGACGACTACGATGAGACCACCCCCAAGGACGTAGTAGCTTCGCGAAACTGGTTCGGGCGCTGTGTATTTGAAGCGGATAACAACGTTTGCGACGATCAGACTGTGACCATCACCTGGGACGATGCCATCACAGCAGATTCGGAAGCCCCCAAGCAGGCCAAATCTGCAACGCTACACATGGTCGCGCACACAAAGAAGATATGCGAGAGGTATACGCACATATACGGCGTCGATGGCGAAGTATACGCCGACGCTCGTACAATCACCATTGATGACTTCAATACGGGCGCCACTCAATCATATCATCCAACCATCGAGGATGCCGGCCACGGGGGTGGCGATAAGGGCCTCGCGCGGCAGTTTATCCTGGCGGTTGATCGGGTCAAGAACCACGGCTGGACTGCAGAGAGGGCTCAAAACGAATTCATCGGTTGTTCTCTCGAAGAAGTCATTCGGTCGCACGCCATGGTGTTTGCAGCAGAAGAGGCCAGAACGGCGAAGAAGGTTGTTGGCTGGGAGGAATGGTGGTCAAGAAATGTTACCAACAGAGGCAGCGGGTGAGAACAGCAAACACATTGTCAGGTCACCACATCATCCAGTGACGGGAGGAGTGTCCCAAGCTGCAACATTCTTAGTTGTCGTCTCAATCAAAAGAATTGAGCTCCAAGAGGCTAAGCTGTGAGGCACAGCAAGTTCGATGGACGAGGCCCCCTTCGCTCGCTCAGACAACCACGTCGAGGGATACCATCGTTGATATCTTCTTATCAGCCCGGGACTCGGTCCCGGCGGCACCCTCCCGAGGTTGCTATATTCATGGCCTTCAACCAGCCTTGTTATCAACTTCACATCTTACCGAAGAAAGAACGAGCTAGCGGGCGAGGATAGCCGCTGGTTTGTTGGTGGATGAGTGTTCGTTCATCGTTCGAAGCGTGCTTCAAGAGGCTCGACGCCAGAGGCGGGCGCACCGAAATCGCCGCTTTTATCGGACCGGTGTCATCGGCAAGATGACCCGGCGGTAGAGCCCTCCCCCCCGTGTCCCTGATATGCTGCGTCAGAAGAATCAAGACCTCGACTGCAACCTACAGAGAGCATCCCCTCTTCTCAGGACTGTTGTACGAGGCAGATGGAATCGGGGGTGGATGCCTTGAGGAGGGCCGCTTTCAAGTGAACATTCGGGAACAACAAGGTTTCTCAAGAGCGCAGGCTGTTCTGCTAGTGGCCTTCTAGAACCCGAAGCAACAGAAAGGAACCCTCCCCGTTGTCCAGACCGGCGTCAGAACGTGGGTCGACCGCAGGTCTTGCAACAAATGCGTCAGCCGGGCTGAATAAGATCAAAGACCTAGGCAACCACGATATTGCGCTTTGATAGGCCTGCAGTTCCACGAATCGCTTCGGTTTCGGCAATAGCCTATCAATGCCGGTTGGTCTGGCGCAGGCCATATATCAAGCAGTTCATTGAATTAAACTGGTTTCTCACTGGAGCCAGATGTCCGCAATTGACAGCACGAATTGTCCTAGTATTTTACCCCAGAAAGCGAAGCCCAACTGAGCCCTACTAGGTCTTAACCTTTGACATGCTGCCAAGGACCAAACACTGCTATTGACGTTCTGTCGCACAAGGCGAGCATTGCATGTTTGCTACGTATCCTGCGCAGAGTGCAACCATTGTGCAACCAAACTCAATTCGGACAGGTGATTATCAATAGATATGAGCGGGTACAATCAGTACGGTCGGCGCAGGCGGTTACCATTTTCTGAGACTTACACCACAGCTATGTATGAGTGATCAAACCCGAAGCCACGCACGCACGCAGTCCAGACAGCTACGTAGTGACGGGCTGCCGCTCGAAAACCGAACCACTCTTGCTTGCGAGCTCCCCGTCATCATTGGTGAGCTCGTCATGCCCGATGCTCGGAGTTGTTGGCCTACGGGCTCACTACTGCACGATATCGGTACTCCACCGCCATTTGGTGGCCGTATGTTATGCGCCTAACGGTTCCTGCACGTCTTGGATATCCCCTCCTGACCTTACGTGCGCAAATCACAGTAGAATAAGTGGAAGAGCCATGATTAGCATCGGCAGATAGATCTCTCTAGCATGATTGCCCCAGCCACCATCACGTCTCCCCAACCACTCGGGAGAGAGCGCGAGAGCAGGATGTAAGAACAGTATGCAGCCACGCCAGCCTGGTGCGTTATCCGCCTCGAAGCGGTGTCTAACACCCAAGCGAAACTATAATACGAAAAGTCCTGCGGGGAAGATGTAAGCCCAGCTAGAGCCGTGGCTTTCTCCTCTTTCTCGTCGAACTCTGTCAGCGAGAACCCGAAGTCTGTGCGCCGAAGCCAATACATTCATAAAAAGGCCACCTTTGTTCCCTATCTTGTCTCATGACTCTCTGCTTCCAAGGAGCAAGCACTGCCTTGACCTGTGAGACAGACAACCCACTCGGACGACTTCCCAAAAAAGAGACTGCATCGGGATTCAAGCAACAGGAGATTCTTTCTCAGGGCAAGCCCGTGTCATCAAGCTCCTCTCCCTAGCTCCTTCTTCCGCAGGTCAGCCCGATCTGTTGTCTTGTGCGTCCCTTCACCCAACCGGTCATACGTACGGCGCATTATGTCGTCCTCCGGAGCTGTCCCCGCTCCCGGGGACCTTCCCCTCGGCCCTGTCCGACGGCACATAACCACACACGACGCCAACGGCCGTGCCGTCTACTCGGACGCCTTCCCCTTGGAAGTGACGCCGGACCCTCTGCCCAACATGCTCTTCCATACCTGCTACACGACCTCCGAGTCGCCTGTCAAGATGGACAACGACAAGGACCTAGCCGAGTACGGCCCGCACCACCCGCGCATGCCGACTCTGCACCTGCCCTCAGGCTCCGTGCTGCGCGTCGTGGACTTTGGCCCACACACGGAGCCCATGATGCACCGCACCGAGTCGTGCGACTACGGCATCGTGCTGAAGGGCGAGGTCGAGTGCCACCTCGACGACGGCGCCGTGAGGACGCTGGGACAGGGCGACATCATGATCCAACGGGGCACGATGCACGGATGGAAGAACGCGACTGACAAGTGGGCGCGGGTGGTGTTCTGTCTGCAGCCGGCTGAGCCGGTACGGGTTGCGGGCCAGGTCATGGAGGACGACATCCCGTTCATGAAGCTGGCGCCGGACAGGCAGGCGGACTTTGAGAAATTCAAGGAGGAGGAGAAGAAGAAGAAGGCTGGGAAACGTGATTGAGGGAGCAGAGCTGCGATGGTTCATTATGGCCATTCTAAGAGACGTGGCACGCGATGAATGAAACGCGTCCTTCGTCAACGCTGGGAAGTATGTGACAAGAGTAGCCGAGCAAATCGTAACGCCTCGAGAGCCTCCCCTTAGTTGGCAGGACTCTGCACAGGCTTATTACAAGCAAATACACCACGAAGAATGAACACATTTCACGACACTGAGCCAGCTTAGCCCGTGGTGTTCTGACTTCCGGGTCTTCCGAGGCACAACCACATGCCCAAGGGCGCCGTTGACCGGCTCAAGAGGGCTCCAAGGTCGGATGACAATCAGAGCATGCAATGCACGCCCGAAGACCTGATTGTAGGGACTCAACTAACTAGTTGAGCCAAGGCACCATCTCCTGAAGTCGGAATCGGGAATCCCGGGGGGACCATCGATCGTGACGGTGACGGCGTACAGGGGCATATATATCGCCTAATAAGTATCTATATCGGCTTGAGACGTAAACCATAAAGCTACGTCTTTTGTTCGACAACCACCGAGGGATTCGCTATGTTTCAACGCGGTGGCGGTTGATGTCTCCATACCAGCAAGGTAAAAAGCACTCGCGTCGGCCATTTTTGGCCATTGGGTGGGATGACGGCTGTCGCCTCTCTCGCCCTTCCTTGTTATCTGCCTTTGATTCTCATCACACAATCTACTCAACGAAAAGTGATCAATATTATCACAGGAACCCCCGCCCTTGAGTTGATGGGCACACGACGGAAACAACCTGAAGCAGGCCCATAATCGACCCAATATGACTACGACGATAGTGTTGAACCCATGTGACTACTTCGACCCAGGCCGGGGTCTCAACCAGCTTTCGGCGAAGGAAATCCAGGTCCAAGCAGGGGGTCATGAGGTGGCAATAGGAAGCAAAAAGAAAAGAATTGAATTATTACTCCCCTTTCGGGATATAAAGGGTGAGAGAAAAGAGACAAAAAAAAGAAGACAAAAGGAGAAAAGAAAGGAGTCCAACCAGCATCCTGAATTGGGACATTCTGGGAAAGCTATTAGTCTTCAGAACTTATGTTCTCTATTTCGAAGCTACCTACTAGCGGTTTTCAGCCACTACCTGATGCGAGGGCATCACGTGATTTCGGGTAGTCACTGCAGCGGGCTTTGGTTTTGTCAGGGGGTGAATCATCTCAGGAGGAGTTGATCGAGAAAAGAAAGCATTGCTGACCGAGCCCAGCAGGTAGGCGACGGAGGCTGCGCAAAGAAGCAAAGTGACTTTTGGCCCACAGGAGTGAGACCAAACTCAATAGGTGGGACGTGGTGCTCGCTCGCTTCTTGGACGCCATTCGTCGCGAACATCTGCCGACTCTGGCCAAGGAGATGGCGCGTGTTGAAACGGAGGGTTCTTTTCCCATGCACCCTGGTCTCAAGCGTACACGGAGAAACAGTCGAGAAAATGACGATACGGCTGCACCGGGACTAGTGTAGAGAAAGCTGGATGCGGTTGAGAACGCGCTTTCAGGCGGGTAACTGCAGGGATGCCCTTGTTTTCCTCACAAAATCGGCCATAATAAGCAACGCGTCAGTCAGTCAACTTCACGCAATGGTTGATTTTGCCACAAGACCTTGGAGGAGGTGACTTGACTGGCTGGCTGGCGTATTTGACGCGACGGGGATTAGAGTTATCGTGGGTAGACGGGTACCGTATCCACTCGTTAGATTCGTACACTGCACTGACCATGGGCTGCTGGATAGGGCCTAGCGGGCTGGCAGAAACAGGGATCTAGAAGTGGCAAATGTAGGGGTTAGTCAACGTCAGCAGCAAGTTTGGTGGCAAGGGTTAGGGTTAGATGGGTGGGTGTGTGGCTAGGCTGGCTGACCGCCTTTTGAATTAGGCCTAGTGGGTGGTCAGTGCAGTGTACGAATCTAACGAGTGGATACGGTAATTTGATACGGAGTTTAGCCGAGCACTTCCGACCCGCGGTCTCAGGCCGTATCTGACCGCGAAAGTCGAGGGTACAAGAGGACAGTCATGTGCAAGGAGGATGGAAGGCAATGGTGGTGGTGCTGCCCTACAAACCGGCGGTCCCAAACCAAAAGGCAAGTGCCTCTGACCCAGGCCTGGTTTCCCAACTTGCTTATTCACCCGACACACACCAACCAGACACAAACAAACATCTCTCTCTGACCTCCCCAGACAACAGACAAGCGCGACCCGCCCAAGAGCCCTCGTATCCACTACTCCGAATGCGACACCCCTGATCCACCCCGATAAAGTGGGTCGGCCACCCGGACCGTGGGAAGGAGGGAAGAAAAAAAAACAAAAAAAAGAAAATTCGAGCATCGCCCTCTCATCCTCTCATCCTCTCACTCTCCAAAAGCTCATCACCCCAGCGTCCCCCTTCAAGCAAACTCATCCCCTTTCCTTTCAGCGACACCGCTCTGCTCCTCTTCGTGTGCCGAAACAGACCCCCTTCCTCACACCGCTCATTTACCGCACTCAGCCCAGCCCAGCAGCCCTTCTCTGCCCAGCATGCCTCGCCGCGCCGCCCTGGAGCCCAAACCCCGTAAGCCGCAGTACTCCCCGGAGAAACGCGCCCGCATCGCCGTGCTCTCAGAGCTCGGCATGTCCCTCAAGGAGATCTCGCTCAAGGAGGAGGTCCCCGTCTCCTCAATCAAGGGCATCGTCACCCGCTATCGCCTCCAGCAGGCCGGTCGCGACCGCCCGCGCCCTGGCCGCCCCCGCATCTTGTCCGACAGGGACGTCAAGAACCTCCTGCGCGTCCTCAAGGAGAAGCCCGCCGTCTCTTACGCCGAGCTCAAGCGCGAGGCCGGCGTCACCTGCGCGACCAAGACCCTCGTGCGGTATCTCCAGATGGAGGGCATCAAGCCCAACAAGCCACCCCCAGGCGACTCCGAGGAAGAGGCCTCGCGGTTGCGCGTCTTGGCCGACGACGCCGAGAACGAGGACGAGTGAACGTGACTTCCTCCTCATCCCCACCGCTCCAAGTGCGGAGGGAAATTTAGCGAACGTTGGGTCTGGGATGAGCGGTTTTACAAAAGAAGAAGAAGAAGAAGGGAAACGTCTTTGTCCGCAGGCCTACAAACAACCCCATTTACACGTCCCCACGGAACAGATTGCCCGTAAGACCAGCCCGCCCGCCCGCCTGCTCCCGGACAGAAGTCGACGGAAGAGCTAACCGGGAGCCTCAGATGACGCGGGTCAGCATCTCGACTGCCCAATTAATAGGATTCGCAAAGAGGGGACGGAAGAACAACAACCACTGGATTAATGGCAAAAGAGTCGCAGCTTTGTTGGAGGCAACGGTGTCGCGAGGCCAACTGTCACAGTAGCTCTGCCCACAACCAGGCAATGCCGCGACAACTTCCCATTGACGTGGCAGGGGGAAGCGCTTATACAGGGGCAAGACGCCTCGTGCGAAGTACACATCGATTTCACCCTGTCGGCCTTGGGCAAGATCGTCAGACCGACAGACATATGGTTGTCAAGCAACCTTAACATGCAACAGCGCGAGCGCTTCCGTCGGCAAGGAGCGCGGCAGCGCGGGGAAGGAAGAACGTAGGGGCAAAAGAGTTTAGCTCTTTAGAGATAGGAAATATAGTTAGTTGTTTTTGTCTCCTATTCTGGTCGCCTGGCGTGCGCGCTCGGTCGGCGGCATCTTGCCCTGGTCAGAGATTCCGGACCCGCAGACAGCCACGAACGAAGTCTGGCAGAGAGTCTTTGACGGGAGGAGAGAAAAAAGATAAGACGTCTTGGTCTGTCTACGTTCTACGTCAACACCCTCTCTACGTGCCTCATATACGCCGCATTCTCCGACTCCCCGATCACTACCGCCTCCTCGGCTTCGCGCGACAGCAGCCCCTCCTTCTCCGCCCTCATCTTCCACCCCTCCCAGCTGATATCCAACATCCGCCGATCAACAAACACTAATCTTCCGCCCTCCCTGACGGCCCCGCAAAACACCTTGACCCAGTTCACCCCGCCGCCCCCGGCCTCCGCCTCGTCCGTCTCCCAGTCGCATAGCTGCCAGCCCGCCGGCCTCGCGTACCGCTCGCCACTCCGCAGTCCGGCGATGACGAGAGACCCAAGCCGCAGGCACGCCATCGCCCTCGCGCCGAGGCGGACGCTGTCTTCGCCTACTTGCCCCCGCCCGTAGGCTCGCAGGTCGAGGTAGAGAGACTCGAGCTGCGTCATGGCGCCCCATGTGACGGCGAGAAGATCCGGACCCCGCTCGACGAGGAGCCTCATCTCGAGCCGGGATCTGGTGAGCGCGTTGCGCCGCAGGCGCAGGTCGCGCCAAGGGTCCCTGGGGAAGCCGTTGAACATCAAATGGCGGAGAGGAGGCACCGCGGCGCTTGCCGTGGTCGATCCGGCGTCCGGACCGCCAGTCGTCCCGCCGCGCTGCTCGCGGAACACCAACGCTCCGCCCGCCATGCACTTACCTATCTCGTCGTCCGGGCCCCTCGGCCAGAGCTGCTCGAAGCAGTGTAGCCCGTGCCGCTCGAGGTCTCGCACAGCCCTCCTCATCGCGTCCGGGAACCTCCGTCCGAGCTCGCTCATCAGCGCGCCACAGCCGTTAGGCGTCGTCTGCTTCGCCAACGGGAAAACCACGTGGCCGCCAGAGCTGTCGTCATGCCTCACTCGGGCCTCGAACTTACCTCGCATGATACCTGCGCCCCTGGTGTAGACGTCGATCCGCTGCAGGTCGTAAATGTCGTTGACGGGGTCCGCCGCGTGTGTGCAAACGTCCCAGTCCGGGACGAAGAGTGACATGGCGCAGGGGCTACTTTCCGTTAGAAAATCGAAGAGAACCTCGCACTGGAGTTCGATGGGAAGAAGAGCCAGGCGATCGAGTATGTTGAGGTCCGACGGGAGTGCTGCGTTGGAGTCCATGATGGGGTGAGATGCTATGCGATCTAAAGTAGTATGCTGGGATTTTGCCGTGGTTTTGTCTTGTAGTCCGGAGTATTTAAGCCCGATAGAGACTGATTCTGAGTTACATGTCTAACGCATGGCACCAGCCTTTAATAGAGCCCCAAGCCATCTTCGACAGCGGCTTACAGCCCGATCTGTCTCTTTGTTCAGCGGGCATCAACAACAATAACAACCCTGGCCCAGCCTGAGGCAGTGAACAATGCATTGAAGCTTGGCCGCCAGTTTTCGAGGCCTCGAACATTGGTGAGCATTGTGGAAGGTCCGGGCCACGGAAAGCCACGCTCGGCTGGTTTGTTCAGGTCAAGGGATCTAGTCGTCTTGCTCACAGCTCGAGTCCTGCTGGCTTCGCGAGCGCCCCTGGCGATCCACGATAGGTCCTGAGCTCTCTGTTGCTCCGGAAAAGAGACAAACATGTTACGCAACCTGTTTCTGTGGAGTCTACACCAGCGCGTGGGTTCCCGATATCTGGCCCCTGAGACGACGATCATCCAAAGCAAACGTGCCGAGACCAGTCCTCGCCCTCTTCCAGTGGGAACGCGATAGCACTCTGACACTGCCTGTTGCTTTCCCGTACAGCACGTTGCCATGGAATAGAGTGATCGTGCTCCTCCTATAGCTTTCTGCACTCCTGGCTCCTCCGGGTCGTGATGAACAGTCAACTCCTTGCTAGTGTTGCGCTGAGGGGTCACTCTGTCTGTGTTGGCAATGTTCTGGACGATAGACGGGAGTCGAGAGCTCAAGTGGCTACGCGGGCTTTGGTCAAACAATGGCCGCCATATTTGCACCCAGCGTAATTGACCAAATGGCAAATGCAATATCAGAAACAATCATTCTCTATAGTGGAAACAGCATCAAAATATAATCTTGAATATTAACTATGCCATCTAGACCAGTCATCCTTCGTCAGCTGCACCAAACGCCAAACTCATTCCTCGTCATCCACAATCTCGAACCCGTCTTCGTCCGTCACAGCCTCCTTTTCAGAAAACGCCTTTCCGACCCAAGAGTACCCCGGCTCCAACTCCGAATTCGAATCCGCATCCCCATCTCCGACGAATGCTATCGTCAGAAATCAGTCACAACATACAATCAATAAATTGTGAAACGCTTCCCGCTCGTACTCGGATAGGTCCTCGCCGCCGCTGTCACCACCGCCGACTCACCTTGCTCCGCGCGGCTGTCGCCGTCGCCGCTCGCAACAGCCCCATCGAGAGTAATGCCCTCACGCGGGAGGCTCTGGGCATCCAGCTCAACAGGCCCCTGCGAATCAAGCTCGACAGGCTCCTGCAGCTTTTTCATGTCGTAAGGCGGCTGCAGCTCCTCGTCCTCGTCGTCATCCTCCGACTCGCCGAACTGGTACTCGCCCTCGTTTCCACCCCACACATCTCCAACGGCCGTCCCATGACCGGCAACTCCCCGGGGTTCGGCGATCCGTCCATGGCCAGCGTCTCCATACCAAGGAAGGTTAAAGTCCTCCCCCATCTCAGGCAATGACTGCCAGGCCTCGCTGGAACCTTCGGGCCTGCCCAGGTTCAGACACTCCCACCACGCGGCCTCGCCCTTCTCCAGCCTCTCCTCGCAGAACCGCGCCTCCTTCAAGAGCCCCAGGTCGATGAGAAAGTCGATGATGTCGTACTGCGCGCCCTCTTCCTCCTGGGCCCACGCCAGCAGGCGGATTACGCACAGGAACTCTGCCGGTGCCGCGTCCCGGCTCCACTCGAGCAGTCGGCAGCAGATCCGCGCCCACGTCGCGATCCACTCCATGTCGAGCGACCCTGCCGCCTCGCGGAATTCGATTGTGTTACTCTTGGGGTCGGACCAGTCGGTGGTCCACTCGCGTGGGTCGGCCTTCCGCTTCGGGTCCTGGGCGTTGACACTGCGGAGGCTGTACGCGTCGAACTTGTAGTTGATGTTTTTGGGGAACAACTTGTTTCTCATAAGCTCTCCGACCTGGGCGACTGTCAAGTCGGCACCCAAGAGGTCTCGGACGCCGGACATCACATCCGATCGGAGCGGCGGGACCCTGCGACCGTGGACTTCGACGTTGCCTCCGGAGCTCATGAGATACCCGTCGAGGAAATTTGGGTCCTCGCGGATGTCCTTTCGCATCGTCCCCGGAAAACGGCCGTAGCGGCGGGGGATGGGTGGAGGGCGAGGCCGGGGAGGGGCGTATATGTCGGTTCTAGGGTTGCGGTAATTCCTCGGCATCGGACCCGGGGCTTCGTAAGTGAACGGAGGGAATCCGAATTCTTCGCTTGCGTCACCCTCGTTCGGCCTGGTTCCTTCTGCCACCGGTACGTCCTGCTGGTGCTGCCATGGCTCTGTTTCAAGGAGCGCCATGTCATCCTCTTGGTCCAGTTCGATCTCGAGAGATATCACCTCTGGGCTCATATCTACTTCAACCGACTCACCAAGCCGGCGGTCTCTCCCGAGAAACTTTGTCATCTTGAATCCTGACGGGTTCTTCCCGTCCTGGTGTTGGGGATTGATACCTCTCTGGATCCCATCAAGCATGACGCTGGCCGAGTTATGGCATTTGCCGAGATCAGTGATTTCGTTCACTCGAGCAGATTGACTGTATGTGGTGGCGGAACGCCAAGGGGGATGGAGTCTGCTGATGACAGGATCAGCCGCCCACAACAATGCAGCAAACTGCCGCAACGTCCTCGCATCGATCCTTTGCGTCGGTCCTGCGCCCACATGGACATGAAAGCCGCAGCTGGGGTTCACGCGGCACCGGAAATTGGTTGTGACTGTACTTACCGCGACCCGGAGCATGTCGTAGGACAGCTCCATGTCATACATGGCCGGGGAGATCAACTCGACCCGTTCCCAACGGTACCCGTCGACGTGGTCTGCTTTGAGAGAGACGTCCTCCACGAGCCGGAATGATGACATGGCCTGTTCGCCGTGGATGGCTTGGGCGGAACCGAGCTTACCGTACTGTTCCCTGTCGCCCATCACGGGTAGACCCGCATCGGCTAGAGCACGTTCGATCTGGCCATACACGTGTGCCGTTTTCGGCTTATGAATCCTACCTGAAACGCCACTTTTAGGGCTCTGTTCTGCGGTTCGTTCCCAGTCGAGTGGAACGGTAATTAGCGGCTGCAACTGGTCCTTGATGTCTGCATCAGGGTCGCGTTCTCCTTCTAGGATGAAGGCGACGAAGAATTCGAGTTCCACACCGAAGGAAACCCGTGGGGGCGTGGTGGATTTCTTGAGGCCATCCATAGCTTATTCGGAGTTTTCTTGATAACAAAGCTGGTTGTCTTGGTTGGTGTAGAGTCGAATGGTTGCGACGGGTCAGTGATGCGATATATTACTGTTTGTTGCTGGAATATGTGTCAGAAATGTCGAATTAACATCTTGTCCATGATGGGAAGAGGCAGAATATGTACTATCACGACTGTTGCGGTCAAAGTATTCTACGCCATTAGAAAGACAATGAGCGTTGTCCTCAAGTGATGTCTCTTGAAGAACAGTAGCAGCACGAGACAATGGCACTAGTACAACCGTCCTTTGAAGTTCTTTGATGGTTGTGGTGATAAAGACGATTGTTAGTGAGCCACCAGCGACAGAGCGCACAATGTACATTGAGGATAAGGCACCAGAGGCTGTCTCAGCTCATTGTTGGCCAAACCATACCGACACTCAGATCCGAGACTCAAAGCAGATATGGGCAAAGGTTGGGGGGAATCAATTCATTTCTTTTGACGTCGTCTTGACTGTCCTCAATCATGCCTAAAACGCAAAATGCAGAGCGGAAAGAAAAGGGAAAAAAACACTGGGTGGCATCACCCCATGCCCTATAACGCACTGACTCCTCCAACTTCAAGATACCAACGGTTGGGAATATCCATCGTCTCCATTGCGTGATTCCACGTGTTCCTCGTCAAATAATTAGAGCCGCGCGGTAGGCACGCGGGATCGGGTAGTAGGGGGAAGGTGAATACAGAGAAGTGAAAGGCCATCCCTCAAATCTGCGGTGGCTACGCTTGTCACCGCATGAACCAATTACAATTTTGGGTAGCCGCATGTTTGGGATCGTAGACGTTCAGAGCATGTAAGCAAAGAGACCAATGGCAGCAACGGCAGCAGCGTTGCCGTAGCGGGCAGGGTTGGCAGTCGGGACGGCCCACGCGGACGAGGTGGAAGTGCTGGGGGCCGCAGTGCCGCCAGCATTGGAGCCGCCAGTTGCACTGGGAGCTTGGGTGGCCGCAGACGTGGCCGAGGCGGAACCAGATGCCTGGTTAGCCTGAACGGTGAGGTTGCCACACTGAGACTTGATGGACGTGGTGCAGTTATCCTGGCCGTTCTTGTTGCCAACGTTGGCGAGGATGCAATCATTGTTTGCCTGGACGCAGATGTAGCTGGGCAAACTCTGTTGGTAGTACTCGAGACCGGGGGCGGAGCCGTTGGAGGAGCACAGGCAAGAGTACTGGAGGGTGGGCTGACAATGGGGAGTTAGCACAGCTACAGTACTGGAACATTCTTGCAGGGAGATGAGATTTGGGGAGGGACAACGAGAGATAGAGCATGTAGAGGACGGAGAACAAGGTAGTTGGCTAGCTGATGTTGGAGAAAGACAAAGCGACTTACCGCGTCACAGGTGTTGTTATTGGTACTATCATTGCAGAGGGACAGGCAAGTGTTGCGCTGGGCGATACACCATTGAGCTGGGGATGAAAGTCAGCTTCATAATCCGGGACTCTAACGTAGGGCAAGGACGGTGGCGCCGGCAAAAGCGTTGCAGTTCGACTTGGCTCACCTTTCTCGTTGATACTGAGAGCGCCGACGTTGATGTCGGCGGCAGTGAAGACCTTGCGCTGGGCAGAGACAGCAGAGGCAGCCGAGAGGGCCAGAACGGCGAAAGAAGTACGCATGTTGGCGGGTTGTTATGCTGCGCAGAGATAGTAGAATGTGTGGTTTTGGTGTCGCGTCGTTTGGATCGACGAAAGAAGACAGTGAAGATGTCTAACGACCAAGCAAGCTATACTGAGTTCCAAGGTATCGTAGACGACAATTTGAGGATGTTGTGTCTGATCTGCTTCGTGGTGATGTTGGACGGACGGCGGGCGGGAAAAGAGGAAAAGAAGAAAAGAACGATCACAGCAGACGGGCGACGCGGGCAACGATGTGGTTTTATTATGAGGCAAGCATGCAACAACGGTAAGAGGCAGATAGGTAGGTATGGTTCCCACGTCTACACTAGCTTCGGGCCGCGCTTGCCTCGAATGCGGTAAGCGCAATGGGGGGAGGGGGGAGTGTGAGGAGGGAGGTACGGAGTCGGAGGTGCTGGAAGACAGACAATTACAAGGGTGGCTGGTGGAACAAGAGAAACCGCACCTTTCCTTTTGCAAACATCATAAACCAGAAAGACAGGCAAGGCATGGTTTGATTGCGGCACCTGTCCGGCCGGCGGACCGCAATGTTTTTCCTCCTTCCCTCACACACGATGCCGCCCTTCCGTGTGTGTGTGTGTGTGCTCTCTAAGTTAGTTGCAGGCTCCTTCCCACACACAAACTGTGTACGTGTGGCTGGGATCCACACGTCGGGTCATACCTAGTTGGGGGAGGTGAAGAAGGGAAACGACCAGGAAGGAAGGTACCCACCCCTCCTAGCGCGCCCATAGCGTCTTTCTCCGTTGACAATTTCTTCGGAGTGTTGTTGATGTTCCTCACATCGCGACTCGACACCGAATCGGAGTCGCCAGCTACCTAGTCCACGCAGACGGCCCACGATTTTCTGTTATCTGCAGGGATGGGTTGACGACCGACCGACCGGGGCTGTACGTACCCAATAGCCTCACACGAAGTAACCTGGGAACGCTGGTTCGGGCACTGGACGTGAAATGTCCAACTCTTCTCCTCGACATGGCTGTCGTGAGAAAAGGCCAAAACACGGCCAGCTCGTGAGGTTGACGGGGCTAGGTTTCGATCGTGATTTTGCGGCGTAATCACCGTCGTCAAACGCCGATTGCTGAGGGGTACGGAGTACACGCAAGTACATTGTACATTTGTGGTGGACGCCTGTGGGTGAGCAGGCATGGGCTGCCCTGTTCACCACAATACCTGGCCCCGGTCGCTTCAAACTTTGGATACTGAAACTTTCCTGTGTTCCTCGTGATGGCCTCATTCGCGTCGTCGCTTCTTTTTCACCTTCTTCCAGCACTACTCCAGACATGGCCCGGGAGTCGTACGCCAACGGCACTGCTGCCGAGTTTGATCATGCCAAGCTGGATGGATGTTTTCTCCCCTCGCCCCTGTTCTTCCTCCTTCTTGTCATCCCTATGGCGACGGGCAACATGTGATAATGGCTTTAACCAGGCCCTCTTAGCTGTAGTATTCGTCTCTGTCTGTCCATCGAACAGGCGTTGTCGCAGCTCCAGGTGCCATTACGGAGACATGGCAGTCACATTCCTCGCGGCTCCGGCCTCATACCTGACGGAAAAGAATGAAAAGAGAGAGAAAAGGCTTGCTGGCGTTGGGTAGGTTCCGCGTCCTTCGCTCTTGCAGCCCCGAGCTTTTCATCTCGGGCTACCGCTACCCAACACAGCTCCACCTTCCGCATTTCCTTCCATCCCCCACTCTCTTCGGCTTACCGGCGAAGAAGCCATCCCCCATCGGGACTAGTCCGCCAGGAACACCAGCCACAGATATGCAGCTGCTGCCGTGGTCCGTGGAGACTTCACATTATAGTGACTTCACATTATACCTGTGTGGATCAAGCCAAGATGCTTTGTACCCGCATGTTTTATGGATACATGACTATCTCTTACCAATCAATCAGGCGCAATCCATTATGCCCCCTGCGGCCGTTCCACTTGCCTTCACCTCCCTCTCCTCTCGCTCTCTGCTCCCGTCGTCTTCGCATTCTCTCGGGTTTTAGTGACTTGACGCGGCGACTACCTACTAGTCACTCGATGGATTTTCTCCGCAGTTTACACACTATCTTTGCATGGATGATTTGCGCTTCCCGCCTTATCTCCGGACTGCCTGGTCGGTCAGGTCGAGCGGTGATCAGCACCATCAATAACAGCAACAGCAACAAAAATAACAACGACGACAACCGACATCTCCTCTGATTACGGATACTCGGCATGGTGCCATTAGCCTCCCTCACGATGTCTCATCTTCCGAAACGAACACGATTTATCCTGCCCCCTTCTCACATCATATCACTCAGTCCTCTTCTTGGCGTCTCCGAAATGCGGCCATGCTCACTGGCTCCCTGCCGCGGTCTTGTCCCATGGCCTGTTTCTGTTTGCGAGACCCCCTTGCTTTCAACCCGTCTGTCCCCAACGCAGATACCAGATAGCTCCTAGCATTCGACCACCGCACGGTACAGAGTACCTACCGCTTATATTACATAGTAGGCCGCCGAATGGATGACAGCTTTCGGTCAAACTCGGCCTTAACTCAATATCCTGTCCTGCTACCCTTGAAAATATCATCCACTCATCTACATAGTATCTGCCTCGTCGTGGAGTAAGCCTGGCACGAGCGGACCTTCGCGCCTCAACGCCATTGGACGCCGCCAATGAACCATTGTAGTGCAAAGAGGCCACCCTGCAGAGTGGCGGGCGCCTCCTCGTCCCGAAGAGTTGGGGCCGGCTCACTCACGCCCACCGCAAGTATCCGTACGTAGTGCGAACACGACCTGACCTATTCGTACATACCTAGCATAACCTGGCTGTGGCAACCAACGGGTGAGCTCCCCAGCGTCTTGGGCGCCGAACTAGCTGCAAGCTTGCTGTCCAATCAACATGGTCAATTGCACGCCCAGCTTTTTGGTGATCGTCATCAGCAGCCGGGGGGGCATAGGGTGAGGGGCTGATCGCTGGAGAACGCCGAGTGAGACTTTGTTGTCTGTCGACTTCCAATTAATTCTGGTCTGTCACGACAATAGCTTCTGGCTTTTCTTATCCAAGTTCTTAGGTTCCACATCCATTCTCATCCCCTGGCAATCCAACGTTGGACATTTGACGGTTGCCAGCAGTTTGCCAAGTCGCTCCTGAGCTGCTGAGCCGACATCGTATCCGTCCATCCGTAGCCACACACACCTCCAGCTGCATTCGTCGCATCACACCCTCCTCCATCGCCAACCACCCCGAGCCATGCATGTGCATACAACTGCAGCCTTTTGACATGCTGCACCCAGAACTGGCCTAGAATATATAACACCAACATGCTGATACGAACTCTGCTTTCTGCACCGCCAATAAAGCCCCGCCATTAGGGATTCCGACCACACTTACGGAGTACCACTGCGTCTGTTGCTTGTTAAGGGGCTGGGCTCGATGAGCTTTTTCAGCTACGTCCGTCTTTATCATTGCCGGGCCCCCCTTCCCCCCGCCAATTGTTTTCTTCAATTCTTCAGAAAGTCGGTGAACCGAAGCGATGCCTTTTTTGTATTATTTTTCATTTTTCCCGCCCCTCTCAAAGCGTAACGATTTTCTCCTCGAAAGGCGGAAGCTCGTTCAGGAATGGGATTTTGGAGAATCCCATCATGGGACAAGAAAGGATCTACAAGATGCCGTGTAGCCGCCCCCAACGCCACTAGGTACACTAACTTGGCACGCCGGCCGGTGGAGACCCGACGAGGATCCAGGTTCCGCGTCTCCGTGTCCGTGCCTAGACATCGTATCAGGTTCCCTCAATCAGATATCGCATACGGATACTTGACGTAAACCTCTTGCCTCTGATGTTCCGCGGATTTGGGGATCCTTTGAGCTTAACGATAGAAACGGTTTGACGAACCGAGGTTTGCTCTACAATGCATTCTGCTCTAAATGTCCGAGACCAGCAACAGCATGACAGCTCAATGGCTCTTATCGCCAGTTGTCTGGCGTGCTTCGATATGCAACACACTCCAACCACATCCAGTAGCCATCTAACCGGCTACTAAACACTCTTCTCTTGTGAGGTGTGGACCCTTCCGAATCTAGGCTCTTCTCGCAACAGGCTCTGCTCCTACTTCGAGCACGTCTTTCACTACGCCCTTCTCGCTCCTCACTTTCTCGCCTCCGCTCCTCACCCATCGGTTCCATGCCGCCAGCTGCATGCTCAACCCTTCCATGGTCGTACACTTGGCCTGATATCCCAAGCCTCCATCTTCTACCCGTTTACGCGCGTCGGAATCGTTGATTATGGCGTTGATGGACCCAGCTATACTCGCTGGTTGCAGCATACACAACGGCATTTGAGGTTCTGGGAACACTTTCTGCAACATCGGTACCCGCCAAAGCGTCAGGCAATAAGCTTCTATGCAGTGTGCTACCAGTAGCAGGAGAAGCGGTGGCGGATACTGCACATGGAAGCGCGTTACGCTGAGAGACTCTACGAGTGTGTAGAAATCCTTGAAGATCGGAGGCGGGCCCGCATCCGTGACCGAGAACGGCCGAGCGGCTACTTTATGAGCGTGCGGCCCGAGAAGGGCCGCCTCATACTGAAGATTCGCCAGCGCCACGTTGGCCCCATGCACCCAGTTCTGCATGAAAGGCCCAGTGAAGGTCGGGAAGCTGGCCATGCGCAACGTTGCGCCGACGAGGTAGTCGTCTTTGTGCCCGTAGATGGCATTGCCCGGTCTAATGGACCCGGTGCGGAAGCCGCCTGGCTGCAAAGGGTCCTGTGGTATAGTGTTCGCGCTGCAGACGAGGCGCTCCGCCTCGGCTTTGGATTTCGAATAGTTGCCAAAGAACTCTTCGTGCGCTCGCAGCGGCTTATAAAAGTCGGTCTCGTCCAGTATCTGGAAAAAGTTTGTCGGCCACTTCTTCCAGAGGGCGTTGAAAAAGTTGACGGCTCTCAGGGCCACGCTGCAGGATGAAGTGAAGACCAGAACTTCGGCACCAGCGGTTTTGGCAGCAGCAACAACGTGTGCGGTC